CTCAAGTCTGTTGACTCAGAAAGCACATAATGCATCTTGGTTATCACCAAGTTCACCATGATTTTTTTTTTTCCTCTAGATCTTGTCTTCCATTAGTTCTGGTTCCAAATTTGTATGGGCCCTTTTGATTTACACTATGGTACTGAAAATTTTATTATGAAAAAAGCTAAATCCAGGGTTAACTGCTCAACATGCATATCAAATCTACTGAACATACGTATGTGTGCACACATATATGTGTATGTATGTATGTATAATTAGAACATTTCTATTAGGAATGTTTTCATTGGTGGTGTTAGGAGTTTTCATTTTTGTTTCTTGAGTTTTGGTTTTGCAATTTGACCTCCTGGTCTCTTTCCTCAATTTTTAAGGGATTAAATATGATGTGTCTCAACCTACATGGACTGTGTGCTATGGGCCTATTTCTAGCTCTGTTCCAGAAATGAGCTAGAAAAACTGGGTAAGGGGTGGTAGGGTGGCATGCTTTTCAGTTAATTGTTTCTAAGCTTGTTGCCTGGCTTGAGTAATATCATTTGGTTTCACAGCATCTCTAGGAATTGAGTATCTAACATATTATTGTAATGTTTTACTTTTTAAAAGTCCTAACAAGAATATCACAATTTCTGACCAGATCTCATGAATGTAAAATCTGTCTTCTCTAAATATTGTGAATTTTAAAACACTATTCAGTGTAATTCTCAGGAACTATGAACTGTGTATAAATGTGAATTCAAATTATATAACTAAAAGGAATTTATCCCTTTAGTCTGAGAGGTCATTTACATTCGGAAACCATATTAAAAGTTCACTAAAGTCAAAAGTTCACTAGAGTCAGGTGTGATAGTCCACTCCTGTAATCTCAGTACTCAGGACGTTGAGGCAGGAGGATTGCCATGAGTTCCAGGCCAGCCTGGCTCTGCTACCCCACACCCTCTCCTTAGGTTTTGATGGCCATATGCTACCCATGTCACATATCTCCCCCTAAACTTAAAAAGTGCAAAAATCATTCTTTGTTTGAAGGCCAAGCATATACAGCCATTGGGCTGAATTTGGCCCATGGCCTATAATTTGGAGACTCCTGCTCTAATGCAGTCTCAGGAATTGATTTCATTAAAGCAACTAACACTTACAATGGAGAATATTCACAGCAAGAGGAAAAATCCCTCAGTATGGTAGCTTAAGGAGAAAACATTTATTTTGGACTACAGTTTGTAGAGGTTTCACCCCACAGTCAGCTGACTCCAAGGCAGAACAATGTGGCAGAGAGGCATCTCAGAGGAGAACCAGCCTGTGACAGGGCAGGCAGAGGGCAGCGAAGTAGGAGGAGGAGGAGGGGGAGAGGGGGAGGAGGAGGAGGAGGACGAGGAGGAGGAGGAGGAGAAAGCAGAGAAAGCTTGCCTTTCTCTGCCTTTATATTCCATCCAGGCTACAAGCCTATTTTTTGGTACCACCCATACCCAGGGTGGGGCTCCCGTTATCTACACTCTTAATTCACATTCACACACCCTAACCCCCCACCTTTGAAACTCCCCACCTATGACCACATGAGGCTTTGGGAGTGATCTAGATACAAGCCATAACATTCCACCTCTGGCCCCCCAAATACTCCTAATCTCTTTATGCAAAAGGCATTTAGTCCATCTCTAAGAGTTTCCAAAATCCTAAACAGTTTCCAAAATCCTAACATTGCTGAAAAGTCCAAGTCCAAAGTCTCCTCTGACATTTAGGGCAACTCTTAGTTGCTAGGCCCTGTACAAATGAAAAGAAAATTAAACACTTACAACATACAATGGTACAAAATAAACATTTCCATTCCAAATAGGGGTATGGAAAGGAATGGGAGCAAAACAAGACCAAAATCTAGCAAGGCAAATATTAAGTCCCATAGTTCTGTGTCAAACATCCAGGATAATCGGTGGCAAGATGTGAACACCAAAGGGCTTGGGTGGCTCCACCTCTATAGCACTGGCAGTGGTTGCAGCTTCCATGGCATCTCTCTTGGGCCAACTTTGCTCATGTTGTGCAGCTTTCCTCAGCCAGTCCACATTCCTGGCTTCTGCAAACTCTGGAATCTCCATAGCACCTTCAGCTTCACACTCACAGCTTCATGCACTGCCCTCTAGGGGCCACAATGCCTAGCCTTCCAGGCCTTTTTCTGCAATCAGGGTGGAAGCCTTCCTGTCCCTACAACTCTTGGATTCTGCTTATGCCTAAAACCAGCATCACGTGGATGACATCAAGGTCTGCCACCAGCTAGAGTAGTAGTCAGGTTTCCTTCTCTTTTGGCTGCAGGGGTCAAATACCTGGATTGCTGAGCTCTGAACCCAATCCTGAGGGGAAAAAATTCCCTGGGCTGCAACCATTCTGGAACATGGTGCCCTGGGGCTCTTTTCTCAAAGCAAAGTCTTTCACCTTTGCAGTTTTGAGGCTTTAAAGGGTAGAACCCTGCTAGTTCTTGTGATGCCCTCAGGCCATCTTTTTCTATTGTCCTCTTCTGAAATGCTTGGCTTTTTATTACTAATCTTTTCAGCAACCAAGTTCGCCTCTGTTCCATCCTTACAGAGTGCAACTTTTCTGGAGCTTTCTGGCCAAGCACACAAAATTTTAAATCATTCTGTTGGCTGTTTGCTCATGGTTCTCAATATAAATCTGTCTAAAGGCCCCCAACAGTAGCCATTCCATGACCTCAACATTAGAATGCCTTGAAATTTCTTCCACACAATTAGTCAGCTGCACTTAATCTCAGTGTCAGACAAAGTTTCTGGTCATGTGCAAAATGCAGACAAATTTTCTGCCAAAGCTTAGCACATATGGTCTGGAGTCCAACAGCCTATGCAGTCCTTGTTCCTAAGAGAACCCTCCTGAGCCTGGTCTTTATCAGCAGCATCTCTATCAGTATTCTGGTCTTCTGACCTATGACCAGAATCTCCCATCAAGTTCAGTTTACAGCATTCCAGGGCTGCTTCTTCAGCCTTCATCTCCAAACCTTTCCAAACTCTTCCCACAAGTCAGTTCAAAGGCTCCTGAACCACATGGCCAGGTAGTGTGATAGCATCAATCCCACTTCTCTGGTACCAAAATCTGTCTTAGTTACTTTCCCATTTGTTGGAACGAAGTACCTGACACCCACAAGTTAAAGGAGGAAAGATTTATTTTGGCTCACAGTTTGTAAAGGTTTCATTCCACAGTCAGCTGACTCCAAGGCAGGGTGGTATGGAAGGGGGCCATCACAGAGGAGAAACGGTCCATGACAGGTAGGGAGGAAGCAGAAAAGAACGAGGAGGAGGAGGAGGAGGAGGAGGGGAAGTAGAAGCAAAACCAACTAAATGTATTTATTTAAATAATATGTGCTCCAGTCCTTTTCTCCACAAGTGCCTGGACATTTTTCACTGACTGAGTCCAACACATCTTTTGGACTCCATTGCTGCTGGAAGGCATTTGGGACCTGCGCACCGGTCTGAGTTCATGGCCCTTTCTGAGTGTTCCCATGGCACCTGTACATGCTGCACTGGACTTTGATAGTCATACCCTTACGGTTGCCTAGTTGCTTTCCTTTGTCTCACCAGGTTCTGAGTTCCAAGGAGGCAATGATGGTGTCCCTTTTATATACCATTGTATTCCCAGTATAGCAGATGATAGGCTCTCAGTGGATAATTAGTAAATAAGGGAAGGGTTAGGCGAGAAATAAGAGTGGCTACAGTAGAGATCCAGGGCCAGTCAGACCCAGGTTCAGATGACAGCTCTGTAATTTACCAGACACCTTAAGTTGGACGAGTTAGCCGTGCCTCAGCAGCTGTTCCTAAAGGTTGGGTTGAGGATAACAGAAGTCTGTATGAGAGACTGTGTGATAGAGCGAGGTCATGTGTGTAAAGCGCTAGAAGCCTGGACAGATGTTCACCTTAGCTCCTGCAGGTACTATTACTGTGGTAGTGCTCGTTATCACCATCAGCACCTTGACGGCAACAGTCTGTGTGGCTGCTCCTGCGGGGAGGCAGTGTGGAATAGAGATTAGGAATATAAACTTTGAGTTAGACTGTTTCAGTCCCATTCTCACCATTTACTAGTCGTGTGGTGCTCAGCAAGTTTCTTAACCTCTCTGTGTCTTATTTTCCTCATTTGAAAAATGTGTATATTAGCTACACCTAACTCAAGCATTGTGATAGAGACTAAATGAGAAAAACCATTAGAATAGTCACTGGTTCCTAACAATGTCAATAAATATTGATGATTACATTAATGAAGTCTGACTTGGATCTTAGCTATTAATTTTACTATCTTTCTTTAATCCATGATATATAAATTATGAGCACTCTTGCTGTGATAAACCCACAGAACTGTGACTGTGAACTGTGACTTACTCTATCATGATACAAAACAATGCAGTTGGTTATAAAATTCCTGGAAAATCACCCTGATACCTGCTAGTATATGAATTGAATGACCTTGAGTAAACCTCAGTACATAATGTGGGATGTATACCTGTTTTGGGATAGCACCATCTTCCTGATAAACCCTTGTTTGAGGGTTAGGAGATTGTGACTCTAAAAGTAACTGAGGCTCTTGTCATTGCCAGTTCACCACCTCCCAACAGAAACAGGTAAAAATGCCACCCAGATGTATCTCAGCTCAGAGAAGTGACAAGGTCGTAGGTAAGAAGGGGATACAAGAAACAGGATTCCATAAATGTCTAAGCTGCTCTTGTAATATAAATGTCTTAAGTTTGTTCCTGTGCGTCAGACTTAATGATTAATTTTAACTTGAGTTCAGCTCATGTTTTCTGTTTGTCATGCTTAAGGGCATTGTAGGAATCGCTTGAATCAAATAATTATTCTGTTTACTTTTGCTGTTTACTCTGCCTTTCCAGATTATAATAGTGAAATTTATAATACTACCCAGCAAGTGGGCAGGTGCAATTTCCATTTTGTTTACTTGTCACCAATAAAATGGACCAGTAACATTTTAACGGTTAAATTTGTACATTTACTTTTTCTCTCTGACAGGGTAGACAGCTTGCAGAAGAATCAAGACCTTGAATTTGAAAGAAATAAAGAACGATTTGAGTTTTTAAAGGTACGAACTGAGTTTACATTTCATTGGTTTTCTGTATGTGGGGCACAAGGAAGGAGGTATTCAGGAGATAGGCTGAGTAGAACTATGTGTAAGTATTGACAGTGTTTTTTCCATTGTACAATCCTAGTGGGGTTCCCAGGCTTTTCGAAACATGCGGATTATTCCTCCTGGCTCAGGAATCATCCACCAGGTGAATTTGGAGTATTTGGCAAGAGTGGTATTTGATCAGGATGGATATTATTACCCAGACAGCCTCGTGGGCACAGATTCGCACACTACCATGATTGATGGTTTGGGTGTTCTTGGTTGGGGTGAGTATTCTTCTAGGTTTCTATTCCATATAAAGCATGTGCTTTAGTTCACTTTGATGCCATTACTGCTCAGTGGCATGGATTTGCATGATTACAGTTTATAGGAGAAGAATTTTTGTCTTTTTGTTAACAGTTTCCAGAAAAGTACCTTGCACCCAGTAAGAATTCAATTTATGTTTGGAAAAACGAACTGGAATAAGGGTGTAGGGACATTTTGCCTAAGTGAAAATCATCTGGTATGTTTGTTAATTTGCCCTTTTGTTTTTTTCTTTTTTGTGTCCTGAGGATCAGATCCAGGGCTTTGCACTTTACTGCTGAGCTACATCTCCAGTTCTCTAGCTGTATTTGCTTTTTCAGGGGTTGGGTGGAGGGTGTAGAATAAAAATGGAGACTCCTATCCAGATGGAGTGGTACACACAGCAATCCCAGGTACTCAGATGGGGAAGGCAGGAAAATCATTACGTTCAAAGCCAACCCAAGCAATTTAGCTAGTCCTGGCTAAATAAATAGGGGCCAATAAAAAGCCAAAAATGTAGCCTAGCACTCCCTGGGTTTGATTCCCAAGTCTGGGGGTAAAAAATTGAGACTTCTAACCCTACTCTCCATTGGGTGGCACAGAGGGGATTTTGACATAGCTATTGGGGGGTGGTCACACTCTGAGAAACACTTGTTAAAACTTCTGTGGAGGTGGGCTTGGGATATAGCTGGAGAGCTCTTGCCTAGCATGTAAGAGGCCCTGGGTCCAATCCTTAGCAACAAAAAAAAAAAAGGAGGGGAAATCTAGAAAATAATAATTGTTCCTTATAGAAATACAACTCTGAATATTACAACTGAGTTTATTGAATTCATGCCTGAGGGATATAAGAAGGAGTAATGAAAGCATTATTTAGCCACACCCTCCATTGCAGGTGTGGGTGGAATTGAAGCAGAAGCTGTCATGCTGGGTCAGCCAATCAGCATGGTGCTTCCCCAGGTGATTGGCTACAGGCTGATGGGAAAGCCTCAACCTCTGGTAACATCAACTGACATTGTGCTCACCATCACCAAGGTAACAGTATACTCCCTCTTCTGTGGTCTTGGAAAATTAGTGATGAACAGGGATGAATACACAGTGGAGTATAACCTGGCAATGGTAGGAAACAACACATTTATAATTTTTAAACAAGGTAAGGGGAATATTTTGTGGTTAAATGTTCATTTTATTCTTCTTTTGCTGCATAGACCTTTACCTTGATTTTTAAAATTATGACATAGTTAAAATACACAGAAATTAAAATGATATTTATATATTAGATTTACGGATGATAATATTTTGCCATATTTGTTTCAGGCCTCCCTGTGTTAGTAAAGAAGTAACATAAAATGTTTATGGATAAAGCCACCCTCCCCATTCCTAAAAATTATCACTATCCTGAGATTATTAGAATTATTCCCATGCACATGTTTTTGCTAGTTTTATTACATTTTTTGCACATACTACTTATTTGTAAACAGCAAATATTCCATGAATAATGTATGGCTTTTTGAATTTTCTTTGTGTTCCAGTTACATTATTGTAACAGGTATTTCTCCAAGTTGGAAAATATTATCATATTTTTCTTAAACTCTTGTTGGAAACCATCTCTTTTGTGATTTGTTTGCTTTGCAAAAAGAAGGAAGTTTCATTTTAGAAAATGACAGTGGACCCTTGAGTTACGACTAGCCTGACATGATCAACTTAAGTTACAACCAGAATTTTAGTTTTAACTTACAAATGAAGTCTTGAGTTACGACCCAAATGCTGACCACTTGTGCTTCCGGATGTTCTCAGATACAGATTTATCCCTTACAGAGTTCTGGAAGGAACATTACAACATCCTTGCCTATATGGGGTTAATTGAGGAATCCAGGGCCAATGTCTCTCTAAGGACACTGAGATCTGCTTGTATACAGGAGAGAGACTTTGAAGGCTATGTAGAGGAGACTGAGGCTTTAATTGACCAACCTGATTTATAACCAGCCCTCGCAAACAAATTGAGTTCTTAAGTCACGGGTCCACTGTATTGGAAAATGATAGTTTATTTTTTTAATCACGAGCATATTTTTTTTCTCATTATATGGTTTGGAGGCTTAGAGTGTTTTGTATAGACACCACACTCTAAACACTCCAAAAAAATTTCTCTTTGGTTAAATGTTCGTGGCATTTGGAATTGGATTTATTTGAATACCGTAGTTTATCACAAATACCTGTATGGTGTCTTTTAATATGGAATAATATAAGGCTTGCTCGCAGAATTTGGCAGAGCCACATAACCAAAAGTGCCTGTCCTTTGTGTGATTATTGACAGCCTATGAAACTGGCTTCGTGCAGAGCTGTCACTCACAGAGCCTCACCCTCTGCTGATGGCTTCTGTGGAAAAGACCTAGGGGTTAAGCTGTCTGGATCCTTTTCTTACATTTGACTTGTACCTGTCGCATGAATTTTTCCATTACACCTTTTAAAACAGGTCATTTACTTACTCAATTAGTGTGATTATATAATAATTTAGATTTATAAATTTTAGCACTTCTAGACACATCCGGTGATCTCATTAGGGAGTGTTTTTCATTTTGAAAACCTCTATGTTATTTGTGTTTTGGATTGCTTTTTCTTTTTAAAAAAAGAGGTACTTTGACATTATCTTAGATTTATGGGAGTGTTGATAGAAAGATTATACAGGGAATTCCTGTTACCTTTGTCAGTTTTCCCTTATGTTAACATCTCATATAACCATGGCACATTTCTCAAAACTAAGGGTCTGACATTGGTCTGGTGCTCTCTCTACTACAGACTCTGCTAGTTGTTTAGTAATGACCTTCTGCTGTTCCTGGATCCAGCCTAGGATACCATTTAAGCGATGTATCTTCTAAGTTTTTTTTTTAAATAACTTAAAACATGTTGAGTTAATTTTTTGTTTATGTTTACCTTAAGACTAGTTTATAAGAATTGCAAGGTGATAGTTCTGCATTTTAAATGTGTACTCTTAATTCTCAGACTTTTCTGTTTTTCCTGCTGCTTAGCACCTCCGCCAGGTTGGAGTTGTTGGCAAATTTGTTGAGTTCTTCGGGCCAGGAATAACCCAGCTGTCCATTGCTGACCGAGCTACAGTTGCCAACATGTGTCCAGAGTATGGAGCAACTGCTGCATTTTTCCCAGTTGATGAAGTTAGTATTAAGTATTTGGTACAAACAGGTAAGTCATGAAATGTGAAAGCAGAGGACTCCTTGTTAAAGTTTTGAGGAACACTGAGAATCTGAGCCCTGCCTTCTGTCTCTGCCCCACACAATGTTCTTGGGTTAGTTACACAACTCTTTTTCCTCTACGTGATGTCAAAGTGGGTTGTTCAAATTTAGGAGGTTAGAGATGGAATTGGTACAGCAAATAGAGCTCCAGTACTCTGGAAGCCTAGATACTGATACTGGTCTTCTCTTACTAGTTTTTTTGGACTTTAAACAAGTGATCTTAGTGATGGTACCAGTATCTGTCATTGATGGGGTACCTCCTGTGAATCAGGCTCTTGGTGTGCATTTGCTGTCATCTTCTTCACATCTGTAGGGTAGATTGATTAGTTAATTAAACAATAGGAGAGCAAACTGAGGCCGGGAGAGATGTTATTACCCTAATAAATAGCACAGACAGAATCCAAGTCTGCAGCTGCCAACAAGAAAGACTGCTGTGCTCCTCTTAGGCTGTTCAAAACTGAAATGAGAGCCTGCATAGGAAGGCATTTTACTTCAGCAGATGTTTAACTTTGTATACATTGGTTTAGAAGTTTGACTTTTAACATTGAGAAAGTCTTTTTTTTATTCTGGTTTATTTTTCAGACATTAAATATTCATTCATTTACTCATTTAAAGCATTTTCAATACTGGGTCTAGTTCTCCGACATATGGCAGTGAACAAAAAAATAAAGTCCTGCCATCATGCAGCTTATGCTTCCATTAGAAGCAACGACAGTGAACAAGTAAACAGATACAAATGTGTGATAATGAGAAAGGAAGCAGGGAAAGGGGTAAAGTACCTGAGTGTGGCTCATGGAGCTGGAATTTGGACAGATGCCTGAGCAAGTGAGGGAGGGTTTTGTGAGAATCTTAGACTCCAGGTAAATTCAAACCTCCTCCATAGTCTGAGGAAATTCCTCTGGAAGAAGTAAAGATTGTGATGAAATGTTTATTTAAAAAGTGTTTTTATTAAATAGACCCACATTGGAACTAACACATCCTTGTTCCCCAAAGGATAGAAGTGAAAAAGATGTGGAAATGAAAGAACAGAACATATAGTTGAGGGCATTGGTCTAAAGAGAAGAGAGGGTACTGCAGCTAGGAGAGGGAGAAAGCTGCAGAATACATTCCAGACATCAGGTTCATTTCTGTGGTGCTGAAAGTGCCTCTGAACTACTCAATGATCTGGTACCAAATACGTAACACCAGTTCAATTGAAGCAAAGTACTGCTTCAGAAGCACTTGTGTTTACTAAACCCCAAAAGATATCTCTCCTGTTTATCTTCATGAACAAGACATGTGGCATGTAATAAGCTGTGGGCTTAATAATAGGCCATGACAAATGTGTTGATGCTCATACAGTTGTCTTTTACCAGGTCCTTGCTAAAAGCTGATGACATTCACTGTGCACTTAGAACAAACAAAAAATGTTGATCTATTGCATGTGTCAAGCTTTCAGTCTCATTTAACTGCCAGAGAAACAAGAGGACTTCATATCCATTGGGCATTCTTCATGAGTGTTATCTCCTACACCAGGATCTTGATTAAGTATTAAATAACAGAGGTTCAGGGTCATAATCCTGGTGAAGTAGCACTGTGAATTAGGACTTTGGAGGCAAACTCAAGTTCAAATCCTATTTGTACCATTTGCTGGCCGTGTCCATAGGAAAGTTGCCTGATCTTGAACCCTGATTTTTCTCATCTGTAAATGAAAATAATAATAGTACTTGTCTAACAAGGTAATGATAAAGGATTAGAGTTTGAAATAATATATTTAAATATTTAGCAGAGTGCCAGGCACATAGAAAGTGCTTAATAGCTGGAGGTTTGTGGTGGGTTGGGTAATTATTTTAACAGTAGTAATGTGGTGTACTAAGCATTTGTATGGCCAATTGAAGGTAAATGCATGAGTGTGCTTCAACATTTAGCTCAAGCTTATTATCCTCCTAATTAAGAGCTGTAACGAGAAAGAAAAAGAGCATCTGAGGTTAGAACCAGACTATTTCTTAGAAAACAGTTTCATAGAAACAAGTGATAATGGCTCCTAGAAAAAGCATCAGCCAGAGGATCAAATTATAAGCCTAAAAGCAGAAAGGTCAACAGAATTGTCAGTGTGTGTGTGTACATGAAATGCATATTACTTATATAACTGCTGATAGAGGTATTAATTTATAGTGTATATAACCAGGAAATATTAACATATATTACTTGTTATTACCACTACCATTTAGGTCGAGACGAAAACAAAGTAAAGCACATGAAAAAGTATCTTCAAGCTGTAGGAATGTTTCGAGATTTCAGCAACCCCTCTCAAGACCCAGATTTCACCCAGGTATGAAAGCATCTTCCACCACACGTATTCTTTCCCAAGGCTGCAGTTTTAGGTGTCTGTGCTTTTTCTTGGGGGATCCACTTGTAGGAAATGGGTCACTGCCAAATTATTGTGAGAGAAAAGGGTATTAAAAAGCTGTAAAGGGCTGGGGATTTAGCTCAGTGGTTCCACTGCCTGCCTTGCAAGTGCAAGGACCTGAGTTCAATCCTTAGTACAAAAAAAAAAAAGCTGTAAAATGAAAAGGATAAGAAAACTGTAAATACAACAAAATAATATTACATTCCTACCGGCCTAATTATTATAATAAATGTGCTCCCCATTTTTGAATTACTGATGCATGGCTTCTACATGGAAGACATTTGAAAGACTTGATTAGGGAAACTAGAGCTATTTAAAGTTTAGTCCATCCTTGTTATACTCCTGAGAAGAAGTGAAGGTATGAACAGAGCAGCTAGTTTTATTTATCCAATATCTAACCCAGTGGTGGGGAACCTATGGTATGCATGCCACAGCGGGCTGTTTGTATCATTGAAACCTCTAAAAGGTTTGCCGTCACTGGCCTAACCTGTATTTTTTGGGGTGCAAACTAAATCTCTGTTTTTCTAGACAGCCCAAGTTGGAGGGTAAACCAGACATGGGACCCTCGTTTTGTTTCATGTTACACTGAGAGAATGAAGTGCTCAGACTAACACCCTTTTCCTGCCATTGATAATTTAATAGCTGCATGCCTTGCAAATCACCTTAGAAGTTGGTTTATGTATCCTTTCAGTAGAAATCCTGTCTCACCTTAACCTAGGAAATAGAATGCATGCCTGATTTGCTTTACAAGGGTGGATGAGTGAAAGATACTAGAAGCAACAACAGTGTCCACCCTGCTCTTTCTTAGAGGCAGCAGAGCTTTCTGCCTGTTCCGTGCTAGTTAAGTGCTATCTTGATCTTCAGGAATTAATTGCTTAAGTGTTAGGAAGAACATTGGTTTCCTTGTTTGAAATAGGGTAGTTCTGTTTATTTGCTTATTTTTTGTTGTGATGTTTTAAATTCTCTAACACGACTTGGGTTTCTTCTTGGTGAGAATAATGTGAATTATTTTCATAATGCCTTTTCACTTGAACAGGTTGTGGAATTAGATTTGAAAACAGTAGTACCTTGTTGCAGTGGACCCAAAAGGCCTCAAGATAAAGTTGCTGTGTCTGACATGAAAAAGGACTTTGAGAGCTGCCTTGGAGCCAAGGTAGGGGCCTCCTAGCTCTGGCCTTTTGTAGTGCCTGAGCTTTCACCTCAGTCAGTAATGAATCTTTCTCAATTCTGGTGCCACTGAGGATGTTCCTTCTCCATTTTAAAATCCTAATGACTGTTAGCAGTGGGCCAAGCAGCTTCTTAGAGCACATGATCTACTTTTCAAATGACTTACCATGTTGTCCACTCTGCTCACCCATGTTTTTGAGGCTTTTGTGCTTTGTTCTTGCCTCTCTCTGCCTACATGTCTCTTCTCTATCTTGTTGGGTCCCATTTTTTCAGTTTCATAACCCTTGGATCAGATAACAACTCTTCTGCAAAATGGCCTCAATATCTCAGAGCAGCAAGTTATCTTTCCCTAACTTGAACTCTATGGCAGTTGGTCTGAAACCCTTTGACAGGATTCCATATTCTTTAACCTATGTTGTTGTTGCTTCATTTGCATGTACGATTTCCCTTACTGAACTCTACTTTAGAGCATAGGGTTTGTGTCAGAACTTTGGAACCCCACAAAGTACTGAGCAGAATGTCTTGCACACAGATTTTTCAGTGTATATTTCCCAAATGAATAAAATGTGTGATGGGTTTTACCAATGGGATACCAGTCTTACACTAAATGTTCAGCTGTACTTTGTATTGACCATGATTAGTTGTATCTAGTCAAAATACCATCTTTTTCTAAACTTTCAAAAGATTAGAATCAGTAGCTTTAGTCTGTATCCAGTAGTATGTAACACTGTTATTGTACAATAATGTCATGGAGTTCTATAGAGACCAACTTTAAACTAAATTTGTAGTTTTTGTAGTTTCATTTTTGAGGGGAGAAGAAAGTAATTGTTACTAATTTCAACACAGAGTAAGATTAAGGAATTATGGCTGCCTTTTATAATAAATCTTTATAAAGAATAAAGAAATTTAATTTTTTGTAGTATTTTGGAGTAGTTGGCAGAGGTATTTATGTTTTTAATAATTAACCTTTAAAATTATACTTAGGCATGGTGGTACATGCCTGTAATCCCAGCTATTTAGTAGGCTGAGGCAGGAGGGAGGATCACAAGTCTGAGGCCAGCCTGGACAACTTAACAAGACCCTGTCTCAAAATAAAAAGGGTTGGGGATGTAGCTTAGTGCAGTGCCCCTGGCCTTTATTTCCCAGTATTTAAAAAAAAAACAGTTACCAAAGATTCTTCCTTCTTCCAAGTAGAACCTTCAACCATATGTGTTTTCTTCCTACAGCAAGGATTTAAAGGATTCCAAATTGCTCCAGAACATTATAGTGATCATAAGACGTTTATCTACAATAATAATGAGTTCACCCTTGCTCATGGATCTGTGGTAATCGCTGCCATTACTAGCTGCACAAACACCAGTAATCCGTCTGTGATGTTAGGAGCAGGTAAGTGCATTTGAGTTCATCCGTGTAGTCATGTGGATGTGCAGGGGAAAATCCCCCAAGAGAAGACCCAGAGTCATAATTGAAGCATAATTTCCTGAGTGAACCTCATCTCTGGATGCAGAGATCTGTTGGCTGAGAGATATCTATACAAATGGCATCCAAATCATTTTTTAAATTTTGAAGTGCATAATAGTCTTTCTCCTTAGAATTAGCACAGAAAATAAGTAAAGAAAAGAAGCTCAGTTTCTGGCAAAGCTTAGAATTGTGTTAGACCTTAGAAGAAAAAAACGAAGAAGCTGTTGTCGTGTTATAGACTGTTCTCTGTGAAACCCCTGACCAGGGAAATTTAGTGCTGTCATGGTGCATTGGCAGGTGCATCTGGATTAGGGCATAGGGCACTGGTTGATAAAACTCAGTGCCCCTAACCTGTTATGCAATTCTGGATAAGTAGTTAATATTCATATGCAGGAGTCTGCTAATGCATGATCTCTTTAGTTTTCAGATGTTTCATTATCCCCAAGAATTTCCATCGTTCCACAGACCAGTGTCCACAGTTTTTCCCTGGTTGATAAAACTCAGTGCGCCTAACCTGTTATGCAATTCTGGTTAAGTAGTTAATATTCACATGCAAGGTTCTGCTAATACATGATCTCTTTAGTTTTCAAATGTTTCATTATCCCCAAGAATTTCCTTCATTCCACAGACCAGTGTCAACAGTTCTTCCTTTATGGGAGTAAAAAAAACTTTGTGGAGGAATTCATCAGTTACTGCCTAAGCTCCCCTTGTCTGGAGCAAACCAGTTTTCTTAGGAAAAATCACCAGTTTATCTGGAGCACTTTGTCCCTTTACACCCAAATTTCTATTCACTCTCTGTGACACTTCGTAAGTCAGAGCAGCTAGTGTTCCAGTAATAAAATAGACTGTATCTGCCCAAAATCCAAAGGTCTACCTAGGAGGTTCTTGATCTTTCACTGGAGAGTTATCTATAGTATAGATTTTTACTTTTCTGATGACTGTATTTCTCATCAACCAGTACACAATTCATATATTTTCCATCCAATTCTAAAAGCCCTTCCAATTATAATTTCATTCAAATCAAAAAATTGGAAAGATCACTTTCCCTCCAGGAATTAAAAACCGATTTTATAGCATATTCTTGAATGGTTTGGGGTTTTTCTCTCTAAAAAAAAAAAAGAAAGAAAAGAAAGCACATCTCTCTTCATTTCCATGATTACTTCTGAGTCTACCGCATAGATCTAAATGACTTTGGGCCAGTGAGCTTTTGATTTTTGTTGGACAGAAATGCCATCGGGAAGGGAGCCTTGTCAGGCAATAGTAAGAGATGTGACTAGAAAATCAGGCTCTTTCCTGAAGTGTTCCAACACTGAGCAGGTAGTTATCCACACTGTGTGTTTACCATTCTCAGGATTGTTAGCAAAGAAAGCCGTGGATGCTGGCCTGAATGTGAAGCCTTACATCAAAACCAGCCTGTCTCCTGGAAGTGGTGTGGTCACCTACTACCTGCGAGAAAGTGGAGTCATGCCTTATCTGTCTCAGCTTGGGTAAGGGAGTTTTCTTTTACATCTTTGCTTTTGTGTTTAATTCCTTGTGTCACCATGTAACAGCTGTGAGCTTCTCTGATCTCACATCTAACTGTGTAGTCTTTTATCAGATGGTAGGTAGCCTTAAACCCTAACACGCCAACAGTAGGACCTTCCTGCACTTGTGCTGATTGTTCATTATACAAGGGTGCCACTAAAGCCCTCCAAGCCCTGGGCTCTGATGTGATGCTGCACCCCCCAGGAGGAGTGCCCTTTCCCACTTGCACTGAAGGGTGCCATGGCTCAAAACATTCTGATTTTTTGAGACAGATTAGTTATTAGTTGCCAAATACAGTTTCCTAAACTTCCATATTATTCCTACTTTGGATGACATGCCTCTTAAAATTCAGAAGTACTTAGGATTACACAATAATAGTAGTGAATGAGACATTAAATACCATATCTGATTTCAACTTTTAGAAGTTCTAGATCATTTGACTCATTATAAGAAAAACTGGTAGTAATGTTCTTCTTAGATGTCTTTTATCTAAATGCTCTTCAGAGGGAAAAAAGAAATAGTGCTGGCTTGAACTTATTTATGCTCTACTATTCCTTTGTGACCTGTGGTCTCCAGGAAGTGGGCAAAGAGCTCACTGAAAGGAGCTCACTTTGTGCTTCGCTTTGACACTTAGGTTTGACGTGGTGGGCTATGGCTGTATGACCTGCATTGGCAACAGTGGGCCCTTACCTGAACCAGTAGTGGAAGCCATCACTCAGGTAATTACAGAGGGCCTGTAGGTGTTCGAGCTATTATGTCTTCTAATGTAATATGTGGCAAAAATGCTAGTAATTTCAAGACAGTCCATGGAAACAGGGAATGTGATTAACAATATGGTCTTTAGAACTAAAATTGCTAATTGTATAACCTTGGGCATCTTAATTAGCATGTCTGTGCCTCAGTTTCTACAACTGTAAATTAGAGATGATAATCATATCTATTTTATAAAGTTGTCATAGTTAAGAGAATGATGAATGTAAAATACTTAATACAGTGCCTGACAACCAAGTATGTGCCCAGTACATGCCTGGTTTGACTACAAAGGACTCCAGGATTCAAAGTCAAACAAGCCTCCACATAAATAAATCTAAACTATATTGCATTGGCTTAATTTTTGTGGTAAAAATTCGATACCTTCTAATACTATTGAATCTGTGTACACCACTGTGGCTTCCATTAGCTACCAACTTTTAGTCTTTCACACTTGTTCTTAGAAGAGGACCAGGTGAAAGATGAAAGAACCACATCAAGTGATGGGAAAACTATTGCCAGTGGTCTGAAGTGAGAAATCTAGGCAATCACTTCTCCCTGTGACAAGATTATTCTTGTGTCTTACACAGGGAGACCTAGTAGCTGTTGGAGTGCTATCTGGGAATAGAAATTTTGAAGGTCGTGTCCACCCCAACACTCGGGCCAACTATTTAGCATCTCCTCCCTTAGTAATAGCCTATGCCATTGCTGGGACCATCAGGATCGACTTTGAGAAAGAGCCGTTGGGTAAGATTTTGCTTGTGTGGATATAATTGTTTTTCAAGTGAATTCAGAAATATTACTGGAAGAAAGTTACTACTTTTGCTAATTAAAAAAAGAATTATAGAACTTCCAGAGATAAGACAAAGGAGAATCTTTTCAATGTTCAGTACTACACAGCTAAGACATAACTGAAGTAAAAACAATCTACTGAGAGTAAGGGGTGGCAAAAGTAATGAAGTAAATGCCAAAAGCAATAGAGATTTGCTCTTCTGGTTTCTTATGTAGTTCCTCCCTTTTCCACAACCATTATACTCCAATGATAGACATTGTTTTAATATATACTTTATAAGGACACTTTCTGATATTTCAGCTTCTTAGACTTCAGGAGAATGACACTTTATCTCCTTTGTCTGGGCTTTTTGCTTGATACACTGCCCTCAGTCTAGTACAAGCCGATTAGATAATCTGGAAACAGTGTCCCATAGGTTTACTTTTAGGAAATCACAAATGTAGAGGTATAATTGATCCTTATTACAGTGATGCCTCTGTTCATGTGAAATTCTTTCCACAATTCTGGTTGCAACTGAATTGCAAGCATATATGTACTATATGATGTGCCTTGTGTTCAGACAGGCTTCATTGAGGCATGAGTCAGAGTGCTGTTGACTGAAAGTGAATGAGGCCCTCAGTGCCTCTGGGGAATTGGATTCAGGACATCCTGAGGATACTACCAAATCTACAAATGTGCAAGTGACTTGTATGAAATGACAGTATTTGCATGTAATCTACACAGATCATCTCCAGATTACTTATAATACCTAATATAATGTAAATAACTGTATAAATGTTAATTTTTTAGGGAATAATGATGAGAAAAATGTCTGTACATGTTTGGTGTACATGCAGGTTTTTTCCCTGAATATTTTTGATTCTCTTTGAACCAGCAGATCCAGAACCCACAGATACGGAGACCTAACTGTATGTTAAATGTGATGTCTTTAAACAAAGAGCACATATACCAAGATTATATATTGATCAGTCAATGAAAGTGTGGCCAGACTTTCATCTGGAACCTAACATGATTCCCCTGGGACAGTAGTCTAGTATTCACTAATTCAGTGTTCCTCAGACTTTATAGAAAGAATGTAAATGCTGAGAGGAAAGAGACCCGACTATGTGCAATAATGAAAATGGGGTATTGGATGATGTTTTTCTCAATAAATGTGTTTTCCTCAGGGGTAAATGCAAAGGGACAACAGATATTTCTGAAAGATATCTGGCCAACTCGAGATGAGATCCAGGCAGTGGAGCAGCGGTTTGTCATCCCTGGGATGTTTAAGGAGGTCTATCAGAAAATAGAGGTGAGACCCCTCACTGCCCTCCCCATGCCCAAGGACTTATGAGAAAGCCTCTCTCCTTTATCCTATCTGTAGATCTTGAGGCTAACAGGAGTATAAACAGTAGAAAGTAACATTTATTTCCTCAGATAACTAGGAAAGTGGTTCTCAGTTTTCTTCCCTGACTCACATTTTTACCAACCCATACTCCCCAACTGTTCCCAGATTTGGACGACTGTGTGACAGATAGGCAGCCTCAGGAAGAAAAGCTCTAGGATCAGCTCTCCATAGTTCCACTCCTTTTTCACACACCCTGTGGTGTGTGTCAGCTGTGATGCGTGCCCTGATGATCACTGTAGTATGTCACTGAGGTGGAATCAATTGCTTGCCATGTACCTCATAATGCATTATTTGGATACTTAAAAAAAATTAAAATCACTAAGTAGGAAGTGACAGACTGCTGAAATAAAAACTTTCTGTGTATTTTATAAATAGGAGAAAATGTGTGGAGCTCAGTATCACTCTCTAAGATGTTACTCCTTTCCCTGCTGTCTGTGTTGTGCAAGAGCTTCTGAAGTGAAGCAGGGCTAAAGGGAACATGGTTATCAGGCACTGCACTCTCCATCAGGAATGCTATTAGGGAGCATAGTTTTAAATGCAGTTCTCTGAAAGCCAAGGTAATGGCTCTGTGAAGAGAATTCAAACCAGTTAACACATCACAGCAGTCCTTTGCTCTCCAGTCCACTGGGAGTCCAAATCCCAAAATATTCAGAGGATAAATAATTTCCCCTTTGGTCTAGTCTGGATTACTTTTTCATAAATTGTTTTACATATATGTTTCCAGTAGCAGTTACTGTATAACATTAACTCAGAACTTAGTAAGCTGAAATAACACACTTATGTCCGTTTCTTCAGGTCAGGATCTGAGGTGCAGCACCGCTGGTGCCCCAACCTTCACGAGGCTCTAGGCCAGAGGTCATGGGACTGTAGTCTCTGGAGAAGGATGCACATAGGCTCCTGTGTGTCTGCCCCAGTTCTTCTCTGTTAGCTGCAGGCCTCCCTCAGCACCTTCTGCCTGGATTTCTTCACAGCTCACCTCTTTACAGGGCAGCTGGTTTCTATAAGGGCCAGTGAGCAAGAGGTCCAGAACCTCAGAAAGCCTAGTATCTATAGGCTTTGGAATGAAGTCATAGGTGCAGCCCACACAAAACAGCAGGGGGGTCAACTGAGGGTCTGAATCCCAGGAGGCAGGATCATGCCTCCCATTTTACTGGCCATCCAGAGTTTATGTAGTTTTAAATTTATGACATTAAATTAGGATAAAAGTGCTGGATGTGGTGGCACAGGGGAGGCTGAGGCAGGAGGATTACCACAAGTTCAAAGCCAGCCTAGGCTACATAGTAAGTTCAAGGCCAGACTGGACTACACATGGAGACCCTGTCTCAAAAAAAAAAAAAAAACCAAAATAAAAAAACGATAAAAGAACTCTTCTGTGTGGTTATAAAGAATAAAAATGGCTTTTATTATACCTCCTAGCTTGAGTGTTTTGTGTTTACATATTTGAATTTTCCCTGGAATGGAATGTAATTAAATCTGTATTTTTTTTAAGACTGTGAATGAAAGCTGGAATGCCTTAGCAGCCCCATCAGATAAGCTGTATCTGTGGAATCCCAAATCTACATACATTAAATCACCACCATTCTTTGAAAACTTGGTATGACTTTTTATTTTTTAACAGAGCAGGTTCTTTCTTCATATAATAGACTTTATTACATTATGTCCTTGATTTGATTTCTCCTTTGAATGAAATCTGTGCACACTTGAGCAGGGTGTTAGGTAGTTGGGGGGTTTGGTTGTAGTGATGGTTTCTCAGTCCAGTGGTTCTGTGTGGCTGTGCACCCTGGCGAGCAGCTACCACCTGGATGGCCTTCAGCAAAGTCGGAAACACAGTTCCAGGAGAATAACCCCAGGACCTGCCACATTCCAGTCTTACACCCCTGGGAGTCTGTCTTCTCTCATGAGTCACTGTGGTGGGAGGAGGAGGATTCCTCTTGTCTTGGGGATCTGAAGGTGAATAGCAAGGATATTGTGTGCGCTGCATTCCAGTATAGTGGAAATACCTCAGCTACTCTTCAGTATTGAGATAGAAATGTTTGGAGTAAATTCACCTTACCTTTTTAAAGAAGCATCCTTGATAAACATCAGAAAACTAGAATTTCATGTGTGTTGATGTAGAGCTAACCTGTGCTTTTGGCCTGTAGACCATTACTGTAGAGACTTACTGGCTCACTTGTTTGAGAAAACCTGGAAAACACTGACTGCTTATATTTTTTGCTAGACTTTGGATCTCCAGCCCCCCAAATCTATAGTGGGTGCCCACGTGTTATTAAATTTGGGAGATTCAGTAACAACTGATCACATCTCTCCAGCTGGAAATATTGCAAGAAACAGCCCTGCTGCTCGCTATTTAACTAACAGAGGGTAAGTGGGAGTAAGGCAGAAAAGACTACAGGCAAAAGTGAAGTACACAGAGCGAATGAGGCTGGTGTTTCTTTTCACATGGTCTCTTTGAAATCAGACTATGGTTTTTCACTGAACCCTTGAAAACCAAGTGATATGTCTGTTTGTAGCTTAGTAACTTCCAGAAAGAATCCATCAGCACATGAATCTCAACACAGCATGGGGAAGGGGAGGTTGACCTTCTTTTTGAGCAAGTGTATGTTTTAGGCTCAGCTGCATTCCTGCCTCCAGCTTGTGGAGCCTGCTAGCTTGAGGCCGGGTGGTGATACAACCTGAAATGTATTGTCTGTCCTGGCGACAGACATAATGTTCACAGAAAACTGCTTCAAGAATTTTTAGTTCACTCATCTGTTTATCAGTCCCTTAGACATACGCTGATATTCCATAGGTATTAAGTCAGTATTACCTCTTGTTACCTGTTGTGCTGCTGTTATTCAAGGTCAGTGGTTCTAAAATCTGATTTCCTTCAAGCATCATTTAGGGAGATAATTTCTTTTTTCTTTTTTTTTTTTTGGTACTGAGGATTGAAGTTGAACCCTGTGTTTGTGAGGTAGGTGGTGGAACTGCTGAGCTAAATCCCCAGCCAACAATTTCTGACTCCTTTCCCCACCTCCTGCATCACTTCTTTAGAGATGGGGTCCAGAGCAAATACGATAAACAAATTTGAGAAATCTACATACTTTTTGGTTTCTATTTTGGTTTGTTTGTATTTCTGGATAATGAGGATTGAAACAGGGCCTTTACTATGAGCTACATCCCCAGCCCTTTTTAAAAATTTTTAAATTTTAAGACAGGGTCTTGCTATGTTACTAAGTTGCCCAGACTGGTCTTTAACTTGTAATTCTCCTGTCTTAGCCTCCCAGAATGTTGGATTATAGGCATGTGCCACCACTCTCATCTTACATGCTTCTGTTTTCTAGTAACAATTCTTGAGCTCTTGACACATGAACTGTTTAGGGAATTAAAAGCAAATATAATTCTTTCCACACACAAAAAAATGCATATGTTCACATTTTGAATGGAATTTCAAAAATTCCTACATATGTTTGCCCGCTCTTAAAGCCCAATCATAAACTCAATCCTCAAAATCTAATCATTAAATAATATTAACACACCATCCCCTAATTTTTTAAGCAGTGGGCCAATGAACTACTCCCCATGTTAATTGTAAGAATACATCATAGTTTCCTTTCATTGATTCCCACAGACAAGATTTTTCTCTGGTTAAAGACCAGAAATAGTTGTTCTACCTCTTGGACATTGCTTTGACTTTTACCTTAGGAAAGTTGTAAATTATTTTGCCAATGTGTTTTTTCCCTTTGCAACTTGATAACTCAGGGACAAATTCAGTTCTATTTCTGATTACCTTATGGGACATGTTTTATTGTCCCCTCTTCTTGGCTCCATCTGACTGGCCTACCCTGATTATGCTCTTGTTTCTGTTTTCTGATTTTTAATTTAGCCTTTTACCATCTGTGAAGGTTTGTAGGCTACTGTTCTAAGTAAATAAAAAATACTCCTTTCAGAATTTCTCCTGATTTGAAAGACTGCCATTTGATCCTAGGAGAATATTGATTTCTGCCCTTCACCACCTACTTCTTACTCTGCCCTCACTTGAAGCTCTGAACAAACCTTTTCTGCCATAGAGAACAGTGCTCAGCAGATTTACAGAAGTAGCTAGGTTTTTGGCATTTTCTTTTTCTTGGGGTAAGTGTAATTTTTGCTTGCCTCACTAACCTGTCTCCCTTCCTGTTTGCCTTATTAGCCTAACTCCACGAGAATTCAACTCTTACGGCTCCCGCAGGGGTAATGATGCCATCATGGCACGGGGAACATTTGCCAACATTCGTTTGTTAAACAAATTTTTGAACAAGCAGGCACCACAGACTATACATCTCCCTTCTGGAGAAATTGTGAGTATTGTCTCTTTTGCTTCCTTTAGACACCAGTATTTGTCAGGCTCTGGGAGATTGGATTTTTACACAGTGACTTTTCTTTGCCTTTTTTTTCATTGCTCTGTCCTACCCCTGGCTTCCTAGATAATTCCTCTTCCCAGGTATCCATATGCGTAGAGTTTATCACTGACTGAGATTTAAAACCACTTGCTTACAGATTCTACACCATGATTTAACTAAGTCTTATTTCTTGGAAATTGAGCTTAAAAATCTTTTGAAATTTCATCAGAATGTTTAAAGGGGAAATTTTAGGTTAAATTAGAGGATACTCATTAAGAAGTGCTACCCTATGGTCTAATTAATTAAATACTAATTAGTCAATTTAATGCACTGTATCCACTAGGAAAAGAAGGAATGTGCAGGCCTTTAGAGACCTGTTCGAATCCTAAAAGAAGCCATCTGGAGCTGGTACACTGAACCTGGGATTGTTTGTTTGTGGATATGGGGTGTAAGAGAGACAGAGATGCCTGTACTTTATTAAAGCCATACAAGTCTGGGTTTAAATCCCAGCTCTACCTCATACTAGCTGTGGCCAGTTATTTCCTTCTCTAAAGTTCATTTTTCTTATTTGTGAAGTGGAAATAATATTTACTCTATAAAGCTGAGGCTTAAATTGAAATATAATGAATGTGGCATCCACCCCATGTGTGGATCTTCGGTGTCACTTCCCTCCCCAGGGATGCTGTTTTAAAATGGTTTGATCTACTTAAGAAATAATCCTTACTTAAAATAATAGCTAATATTTCTGTCCACCTCACTATATTCCACCTCCAGTCCTAAGCCCTTTGAATGTACTGACTTATTTAATACTCATAACAACCCTTTGAGGTAGGTGGCATAATTACCTGTGTTTAAATTGACAGTGCAAGGCATGGAAAAGTCATAATTTCCTAAGTTTGTACAGTGGAAAAGCTCAAATAAAGACCCAAGGAGTCTGACCCTGATGGCAGTGGCCTTTGCCACCACATATACTGCCTCACTCAGAACTGACCTTGTTTCTGTAAAGCAAACTCTGCTTATAGATAATTGTGTCCATGCCAGGACATCACCCAGCAGATGCTTATTCAGTGAATAGCAGGGATAATAAACTGTTTGATGAAAAAGATGCATACTGAATTATGGAATACCCAAGACACCAACAGGGAAAGACTTGCAATTACAGACATTGATGGGCCCCCAACAAACTGTGCCAAAATAACCTCACTTTAAAAGCCCATGATATGAAACCTATGGTCAGTTTAATGCCCATTTTAAATCAGGAGACAGAATCAGGGATGGGCAGACATTTGAACCAAGGCTTGAACTTGAAAGACAAACCTAGACAGAGAAGGGGGGAAAGGAAAAGAAGATAACAGAGACATTGCAGAAAGTAGAAGAAAACTTTTAAGGATCATCTCCCCAGAGTTATGACTTAACTTTCCATTGCTATAAAGTAACAATTCAAAGACAAGAAGGTTTTAAATTTTAAAAAATGTTCACCTCCCTTCCCAAATAATTCAAAAGAACCAGTGATTAGTTTAGAAAATCTCCTGGAGTATAGAACAAAGACAAAGGCATTAGAGAAACAGTATAACAAAATTAAAAACTGAACTGAGAAGACCAACATTTGACTAAACAGAGGTACTAAAAGAAAGCAGACAAAACAGAAGGAGGAGCTGGGCGTGGTGGTGCACACCTGTAATCCCAGCACTGGGGAGGCTGAGGCTGGTGGATCTCCACATGTTCAAGGCCAGCCTGGACTACATAGCGAGACCCTGTCTCAACATCCCCCCCCCAAAAAAAAACAGAGAAATTATTAAAGGAGTAACACAAGGTATATTTTTCCCAAACTGCAGTATCTGAGAATCCAGATTGAAAAGACGCACCGAACACCCAGCCAAATGATTTCCAAATGATTTCACCTACTTGAGTTAGGTGCAAGAATTTGAAGAGAACATATTTCATCATGTTCCATTCTTATGGGAGTTCAAAAAATAGATCACTAGGTATTGAAGAGTTAATGACACATTCAGATATTTTAAAACTTAAAAATATTCCTTGCTCCTTCTCAGGAAGTCTTTGGTGAGTGCATTTCACCAAAATGAGGAAGTTGGGCCGGGTATTTAGCTCAGTGGTTCCGGCTCGCAAGCACAAGGTCCCGAGTTCAATCACCGATACCAAAAAACAAAAAAATGAGGAAGTTATCAAAAAAAGGGGAAAATGTAGGATCTGGAGGAAAAAGAAGGAAGGGAATACCCAGGATGTTGAAGAAGGAAGCTTTTTCTGTCACGGGAATGGACCACATATCATTGAGAGCAGTCGGTCCAAGAGCAGTACTGCCAATAAGAAGAGTCTTCACTGGTGTATTCACATGTGTTTGAATACCTTTAAAGATTTGTCCTTTAAGCAGAGCATTTAGGAATTAATTAATAGGTAGGACACAGATACAGGTGAGCACACTAAAAAAGAAAGAAAGTTCCAGTAGAAACATTGTAAAAATTGTCAAAAAGAAGATATCATAGTGCAATACATGGCATATCTATAAATAGAGCTGACATGATTGATGCTGAAATGTATGGGATAACTTTTGTGGGAGGTTGAAGAGAGGGAACATGACAGGGTGGGAGCAGCAGGTGGTAGAGGTGATGTTGAAGAGACTAAAATGATCATTAAGGTAGAGAAGGGACAGATGATAGCACAAATGGAAAAGTAAAAACTGGAAGTTTAAAAATCATGCCTAGAGACTAGAGGCACAGTAACAGAAGAAATAACATACTTATATGTGTTCTCTATTTTGGAAGAGAGTGTGCAGGGAACTTGCCTTATAAGCTGTTGAGTGTTCTCACCATGGCTGATGTAATGGAAACATCAGAACAACCAGTGCCTGGACCTGCTCAGTCCCTGTGACCTTGGGCAACATGACCTGCAGTGATCTTAATTCTCAGCTGTGTAGTAGTTTTGAAAACACTTTTTGAAACACATACTTCTGTATTCTTAATACTCAGAGTTAGTAATCTCTGAAAATAATAGGTAGATTGTTTTTTTCAGGTCTTGAAAGGCTCTGGCCATTTGGCTGGGCAGGGGAACATGTTTACTATTTTTTGTAACAGTTTCTGTATTTATGAGTTCTGTCAACCAAAAGCATACAGAACCCTCCCAGATTTACATAATGCTATATGAAATTAACCACAGTTCTATTAGTCGATCAAAATACTACTTTGTGGAAAGCCTACTTCAGAATTTGATTAAATGCTTATCTTTTATCTTTCTGACTTAAATAGCTAGGAAAAATAATTGTCTCAGATATCTTGATGAAATCTCAACTCAGCATATTTATATTCTTGTGAGAAACATATCTTTTTGTGTAGGATGTTTCTTGTATATTAAAATATTAGCTATTTATTTCCTGCTTTTACCAGTTGGTGCTCCATCCATGTTTCTACTATCTTTATCTTGACCTGCATGTAGAAGGGAAATAAAAATTTTCATTTTATATAATTTTATAACATGTTACTTTGTATTTTGCTACCCTTTGTAACTGACCATTGTTGAGACTCTAATATTGAGTCAAAACTCAGGCTTTGGTGGGATTCTCTGGTTTTTAAGTTTTAAAAGTTTAGTTAATGGAAGGAAAAAAATCTGATTTAGTGTCCCTTTTTTCCCCCCTTAATGCCCTAGGATCTGAATGCTTGTATAAAGCTGGACAACAGTTAGGCCTTTCAGTCAAAAGAATATAAAACATGATTTCACAGAAATAGATTGACTCAAGTGGGGCTTGTAGACCACCTGCCCAATCAGTTGAGTTTTGTTGGCTTTCCATTGACTTGGCCATCTCCTGATCCACTGACCCTCTGCTCTCACCAGGACATGCTGGGCCAGTATCCGCATACTTTGCCTTTTATGTATTGGTAAAACCTTCCTTTTCTCTCCCTCAGCTTGATGTGTTTGATGCTGCTGAGCGATACCAGCAAGCAGGCCTTCCCCTGATTGTTCTGGCTGGCAAAGAGTATGGCTCAGGCAGCTCCCGAGACTGGGCAGCCAAAGGCCCTTTCCTGCTGGTGAGTATGAAGTGGCTTCCCAACAGGCAGCTGGAAGGGAAGCCAGGAGGGTGCCCAGGAATGAATTGTGTTGCTGCTTTACTCGTCAAGATGTTGTGAAAGAGCAAGCTCTGAAAAGCATTTAGTATTTATTTCCTGGTGGATCTACATTTACTTCACTTAGTGGAGCATAATAATCTAAAGTTGAACTGATCTTTAGGTCAGACATTCATACTATGACAACTATTGGACTTTTTGAGTGTCTATAGATCAGTTTGAGGAGGAAGGTTTATGAAGTCTGACATGATATTCAAAATGTTTATATCAATGTCTTTTGTAGAAGTTTCATGATTTTCATATAATTCTCAGAGGTTGGGGACCCAATATTTAATAGGGCCATTATCCCAGATAAATGTAAGGAATAAGTGAGAGAGAGCTATTGTATTGTCTGGCAAATTCACAGAAGGAAACAGTAAGGGCCTTTGTGGGAGTTACCATGACAAGAGTAGACTCCAGGTTTCCTGGAAAAAATGAAAAGTGTGTGCTTTTTACAGTTGCTTTTCACTGCCAGTGAAAAAATCTACTGATAGTATCTCAGTGAGGAAGAGAAGCTCTCTGAACATAGCCAGGCAGCTTTCTAGAGCCTTCAGCTGTTGCAGAGCTTTGCCTTCTTGAAGTATCCCATAGGAGGGGTGGTGCCAGCAGCAGAGAGCTTTTACCTCTTGAGCATTGGCTTGCCCTGAGGGCAAGGAAGAGCTGTGCTGCCAGCTTCATTCCCCAGGGGAAGGTAATGCGATTTAGCTGATGTTAATTTAAATCATTTACAGCTTAAACAAATTAATGCCCTTGGGAAACACTAAGTTATATCCAAAGTACAGTAAAAAATGTGGCTCTCTGGCAGGCAACCCTCAAATGTCATTGAATACTACCCCAAATATTTTGTAATTACTCTGTTTTAAGTTAGTTTCCCATTGCTGGGACAAAATACCTAACACCCACAAGTTAAAGGAGGAAAGGTTTATTTTGGCTTAGTTTGTAGAGGTTTCAGTACATGGCCCCAAAGCAGAGGGACATGGCAGAGGAGGCTTACTCATGGCATGGCAGTGGGAAGCAGACAAGGATGAATGGAGGAAGAAGGATCTATACTGTTCCAGGCCACGCTCACAGTGACCCACCTCTTCCCACCAGTTGGTAATATTTCCCAACATCATACCCAGCTTTAAACCCATCAGTGGACTAATCCACTATCACACACCAGTGAGCCAGGACCACACACCCACAATCCACTCACCTCTCAAAAGCCCTAAGAGCACATGAGGCTCTGGAGAGACATCTAGATAGAATCCATAACACACTTATTTTGCTCTAAGGGGAAAAAAGAAATGTACTCTAATTAGTTGATAATAGGTCAAAGGCCTTCCTTTTCTGGAAACTTCTAAAAAGAGCTGGAGAAATTACACAAGAAGGATTTTTAGGCAGCGGATTAGGGGCTGACAGTAGAACTGAGACCTGGACAATAAGTGGTCAGGTTGGGAGCTCTGAAATGTGACAGAGGACAAGAAGAGAACTGGCCCTAAGGAGCACCCTAAAGTCTAGATTTCCCTGCAGAGGGGCTGAAATCTGGCTACCCAGGAAGTTGTGCAACAGCATTCTTGGTCGCCCAGGCTGAGCCACTCAGCAGTGCTGCCCGGTGCTCACTGGAAGACAACAGTTACGATCTCAGCACCTGCAGCACATAACTAGGGATGTGACGCTTTGTGTGCAAAAAGCTTCCCACTTTCCCCTCAATAAACACACACATATGTAAATCTCTACAAAATACCTACTATCCCAAAGAATCTGCCCTTTCTCTATGGCAGGTTCTCAAATTTGGAAATACCTATGACTTTTTTTAAAAATAACTTCTTAGATACAATCCCTAGAGATTCCATTTTAATTGCCAAAGAGAAAGGCATGGACACTGGGATTTTAATAAGCTGCCCTTGGTGATTCTAATGTGCAATGAAGTTTGAGAACCCTTGTTCAATAGCCATGATTCTCTGGCACCTCCTGCCCTATGCTCTACTGCAGTTGGGATGCAGTAGATCTGGGGTAGTATCCAAGTGTCACGTTTTTAATAAGCCCCCTGAGTGAGTCTGAGGCAGGTGTCTCAAAAGCGTGTCCTAGTTATTCAGAGAACTTTTAGAATATTTAATATTATTACAATTAATATTAACTATTAATTATAAATTAATGAAGAATTCTAATTAGGTATCTTGCTTTATTGATTATTGCTCTATATTGTCAATTATACATTACCTACAAAATAGGAAGCTTAATATCGAGACTATTCTGCTCATTTTGATCCTTGAAACAGGAAGTTTAACAGGAGTCTGCAGTAATCACTTACTTTGTAGTAGTATGCTCTAAAAATTACTTTTTTAAAAAATTGGTACTGGAGTTGAACCCAGTGGGTGCTGAGCTACATCCCCAATACTTTTTTATTTCATTTTGAGACAGGATCTAAATTTCCTGGGCTGCCTCAAAGTAGATCCTCTTGCTTTAGCCTCCCAGGTAGCTGGCACTACAGGCATACACCACCTACCATACCTAACGTGAAAATTACTTTTTGATTAAACCTTCTGTGTCTGCTGATACACTTGCAATAATAAAAAAATTCAAGAGAACTTTCTTTACATATCTGGTATAGATTCCAGATGCATGGAATTTTGCCAAATGGTCTTGTATCTCAAAGAGGCTAAGAGCATGGTCAGACCACGTCATTCAGATACCAAATCCTACCACAGATTACTGAATAAAGGGGAAGAAGAGTAGCATCTGCTGTGCCCCAACATTGGTGGAGGGTAGATGGAGAGAATTCATTTCAGTGGTTGCATAGTGCTGGTACATTGTAAGTTGTCAGGCTTGCTACTTTATTTCTAACTGAAGGATAACATCTTTAGGTAAAAGGTTAACAGGTACTTAGAGTGAATTTAACTGTAAGAACAGTCTTGACTTAAGAATACTTTTGTGAAGTTTTCATGTACCTGAAGAAAAAACTAACAGTGTCCAAACTGTCCTTTATTCATCAGGGAATCAAAGCTGTTCTGGCTGAGAGCTATGAGCGCATTCACCGCAGTAACCTGGTTGGGATGGGGGTAATCCCCCTCGAGTATCTCCCTGGTGAAAATGCAGACTCTCTGGGACTCACAGGGCAGGAACGATACACTGTCATCATTCCAGAGAACCTCAGACCACAAATGAAAGTACAGGTTAAGGTAAGCCTACCTTGTCCTTGGCAGGGCCTGCTCCAAAGGGCCCTTTGCTTGTAATCACTCTTATTAAAAGGAAATTCATGGAATTTGAGAGGAAAAAAATTAAAAGTCAGTAGGGCTGCATTAGACTCAGAGTCCTACTAGCACCTTTTACACTTGTCTTTGCAACATAGTGAGGATGATACCTTTTGATTTATTATTTCTCTTTACTCATAGAGTGATCATCAGTTCCAATCTTACCTCCCTTTCCCAACCAGCCTCTGTCTCCTGTTCCTCTCAGTCCCACTCAGCCCAGAGAATAGTAAAGAATAGTGACTTTCATATTACCTAGAAAAATCTTTTTCTTACTATGAAAATGTGATCAACATACACATTAGCCCCCTTCCTAAGCAACATCCCAGATCCTAGGCTTTAATTAGCCCAAGGGTGAAAAATAACAGATTCTTAGGGGAGGACAGGACAAAATGTCCAGCACCAAGGTCCCAGGGGTCACTTAGTATGCAGGCACAGGCAGCTATGATCTCTGTGTTCTGGGTGAGCAGCTCGGTTAATGGCCTAACGTGCAGCCTCAGTGACACTTCTGTTCCCAAACACTTCCATCCACGGGGAGAGGGTTTAGGAAATAATACCTCCTTATAACTAATGGCTGCTGCCCTCAGAAGCTATTTCTAGTTCTCAGGTCCATCAGTACATTACCTCCATCACTATAGTGCTTCTCAAGCTTCGGCAAATAAATCCCCCCAGGGGTCTTATCAAAAGTAGATTCTGATCCTGAGGCCACCAGTCCTGGTGTGCTGCTCATGCTGCTAGTGTGTGAGCCAGAGGGCCACCCAGGCAGAATCACCCTGACACCAGTATCTCACCTTCACCTTCAGCCTTCTTTGCTTCTTTGCCATTGCAGCTGGATACTGGGAAGACCTTCCAGGTTGTCATGAGGTTTGACACTGACGTGGAGCTCACTTATTTCCACAATGGGGGCATCCTCAACTACATGATCCGCAAGATGGCCAAGTAGGCCCTCATTTCCTAGAGAGCTGCATTTGGTGCTGCACCTAGGGAGGCACCAGCCACCCAGCCAGCAGAGGCCCTGGTGAAGAAGCCGCTCTTCTTCTGCACAGGGTGTTGCCTTGAACACAACAACTGAGCGCTGCGGTTTGGGTGCCATTCCTGGAGGCCCGAAGCCAGAAGTTCCTACATTCTCTATTTTTGTTAATTGTTTATCTTTTTCTAGAATTTGGAAGCTAGAATTGTGGGAAGATCAGTAGTGCCAGAAAAAGAGCTGGTTTGTCTTTGAAGTTGCTGATCACAGGACATTGATTTTCTACTCTTACTTAATTAAACTTCAGCTGAACACTAGCAAGTATTTTCAGAAGGGTCTCCTACCCTTTTCATTGTTTTTCTCTGTTACCTTCTGCTCACTGAAGCCCTTCCCTTGAACTTTTCCTTTGTATGTTTTATCAGTGATAACTGACATAAGTAGGTAAGAACTTTTTCATACTTCAAATCATAGTACTGATTTGGTGGACAGGCCAAACATTGAAATTTCTTGATTACAGACCTTTTAGTAGATCAACATAAAAAAATGTTTTTCTCTATCTTCAAAATTTTTTTCCAGAAAATATTTCATCAAGGGGAAATCAAAATATTCCATGAAGGGGAAACTTTGGAGGTGGTTTGGGAGGAAAACAGAACACTTCTGATTTGAATAAGATTAAATATATTTTCATGGAAAATTTGTTGTCTTTGGAATTGAATTGTGCTGGTGATAGTTTTATATATTTACAACATATGATCCTGAAACCTGGATGACTTTCATGTTCTGTTTGTACAGCCACATCTGAACTGTGTAGGTACAGTGGAAGTGTTGAGGAACCAATGTATTACCTGCCCTGTTTGGGAGCAGCAGATAAGAAGGAAGAATAACCTGATAGTAGTAGCAAGGCAGTAAATATGGTACACAGATCCTAGCCTTTTCATGTTCTGAAGTTTATTTGCTCATTTCCATCATTAAAGTCGTTTAGGGCATATCTGGCTACCATAAAATACCACAGGCTGAGTGGCCTAATCAACAAAAATTTATTTTCTCGTAGTTCTGGAGCCTGGAAGTTCAAGTCTGGTTTCTTGTGAGCACTCTTCTAGCTTGCAGGTGGCCTTTCCTCCTTATATGCAACAGAAGAGGGAGGAGAAAGAATTAGCTCTCTTGTATCGTTTCCTATAAGGACATTAATTGTGTAGGATAAGAGTCTCATCCTTATGACCTTATTTAACTTTAATATTTTTCTCAGATTTTTTTTTCTGCATGCTATTTTAGGGGTTAGGGCTTCAACACTGGACTTTTTAGAGGACACAAACATTCAGTCCATAACATGACACCTTATAAGGTTAATCTCCTTGCGATGATTATTTTAAACTTATTCACATTTTACTATAAGGTTAGCAACACTGACAGATAATCAAAGTATTATTAGTTCCACTGTACACATTAGAAAAGTTAAATAACAAGTCATAAATCTAATAAATGAAAAGTACCAGGACTTCAAAGCTGACTTTCTTAATCCAAAACTAGAAACTTTCCTAAATTTCTAAAGTTCACATCTGGAATGGGTCTTACCAATTTGTAGATCATGTATTAACCCCTTTAAATTTCTCCATGTCTTTCTCTGCAATCAGTCTGCTACTGTCCTCTTGAACTCATTCTGTGAGCTCACCTCCTATGCCCTGGGCACTCTGTAGCTGTGTGAGCACCAGAGAGCTAAGGATGTCAGCCTAGCACCAGGTGCGTGGTCTGTCAGCCTTGGCGCCAACCCAGCCAGTGCTTCTATTATGGATCTAAATGGAATTTGGGGGTGGGGGTTGTTTTTGTTTCTTTTTGCTTTGTATCTTTTAATTGTTTTTGACAAATAAAAATTGTATTTACTGTATAAAACATGATCCTTTGAAGTAATTGTAGAATGGCTGAATTGAGCTAAATAACATATATTACCTCACATATTTTTTGTGGTGAGAATACATTTAATAGTGATTTTCAAGAATATATTGTTATTAACTATAATCACCACATTGTACAATAGATCTCTTGAATTTTTTCCTTCTAAACAAAATTTTCTGTCCTTTTTCTAATATTCCCTTAGCCCTTGGTAATTGCTGTTCTACTCTCTGCTTCTATGAGTTTGGCTTTTTAGTACTTGTGCTGCCAAAGCGAGCACTTTTTTTTTTTTTTGGTACTGGGGATCAAACTTGGGACCTTGTGCTTGTGAGGCAGGCAGCGGCACCACTGAGCTAAATCCCCAGCCCTGAGTTTGCCTTTTTAGATTCCACATATAGGATCATGCAGCATTTGTCTTTGTGTGCGTGGCTTATTCTGATATCCTCCAGGTTCATCCATATTGTCAAAAAAGACAGGATTTTGTTCTTCTTTATAAGGTTGGATAGTATTCTGTTGTATATAATTACCATATTTGCTTTGTACTTAGGCTGATTCCTCATCTTGGCTATTGTAAATAATGCAGCAATGAATATGGAAGTGCAGATACCTCTTCAGCATACTGGTTTCATGTCTTTTAGATATACTTCATGTACCCAGAAGTGGGACTGTTGGATCATACAGTTTTCTGTTTTTAGTTTTTTGAGAATTCTACACTGTTTCCCATAATAGCTGTACTAATTAATAACATTCTCACCCACAGTGTGTAAGCATTCCCTTTTTTCCACATCTTCACCAACACTTATCTTTCACCATTTTAATACTGGCCATTTTAACAGGTCTAAAGTGATACTGTGGTTTTAATCTGCAGTTCCATGATAGTGAGGTTGAGCATTTTTTTATGTACATGGTGGCCTTTTGTATGACTTTTGAGAAATGTCTGTTCAGGTCTTTTGTCCATTTTTAATTGAATTATTTGATATTTTATCACTTTTAAGAGTTTTTTTATATTCTGGATATTAGCCCCTTATCAAATAAATGTATGGTTTCCAAATATTTCCTCTCATTCTGTAAGTTATCTCTTCATCCTTTTTTCTGTGGCTGCCAAAACTGTTTTGAAGCAATCCTGTTTGTCTGTTTTCATTTTTATTATTTGTGTTTTCAGGGTCATATGCAAAAAAATCATAACTTTGACCAATGTCAATGGAGTTTCTCCCCTATGTTTCCATCTAGTACATTTACATTATTGGGTCTTACGTTTAAGTCTTAATTCATTTTTAGTTGATTATTGTGTAATGTAAGATAAGGACCAAATTTAATTCCTTTGCATGCAAGTATTGTTTCCCAATACCAATTATTGAAGAAACTATCCTTTCTCCACTGACTCTTTTGTCAAAAATCACTTGGTCAAACATGTATCAATTATTTTCTGGGATCTCTGTTCTATTCCCTTGATCTGTGTATCTGTTTTCATGCTGTTACCATTCTGTTTTGATTGCTAGATCTTTGTAGTAAATTTGAAGTCAGACAGTACTGTTTCCAGATTTGTTCTTTCTGTTCAAGATGGCTTTGGATATTTGAAGTCTGTTGTTGCACACATATTTTAGGAATATCATTGGAAATTTGATTAGGGTTGTATTGAATCTACTTAAGAACATTTGGACATTTTAATGTTAATTCTTCTGCATGTACATGAGCAGTTGTTTCATTTTTTGTTTACTCTTCAGTTTCATTGGTGGCTTATAGTTTTCAAAGTATAGATCTTCGACTTCCATGGTTATATTGATTCCTAGGCATTATTTGTACCTATTATAAATGAGATTGTATTCTTGATTTCTTTTTCAGATAATCTCATTTTTAAGTATGTAGAAATGCCACTGATTTTTGTCTGTTGATTTTTGTATTCTATGTTTGCTGACTGTATTCGGATAATTTTTTGGTGGGTTTCAGAGTATTCCATATATAGAATCATATTATAGAATCATATTATAAACAGAGACAATTTGACTTTTCTAATTTAGCCTTTTATTTCTCTCACTTAGTTGCTTTAGCTAGGACTTATAGGACTATCTTGGCGTGCAGAAGAATGAAACTAGGTCAATATCTCTCACCCTGTACTAAAATCAAATCAAAATGGATCAAAAACCTAGATATAAAACCAGAAATGCCGAAACTGCTGGAACATAACATAGGAGAAACACTTAAATCCAGAGACAGAGGCAAGTACTTCTTGAATAGAACTACAGTAGCACAAAGACTAAAAACAAAAATCAACCAATAATACTATATTTAAAAAGCTTCTGCACAGCAAAGGAAATACTCAAGAATTTCTAGAGACAACCTAAAAAAATGGATAAAAAATTTTGCCGACTACTTCTCTAATAGAGAATTAATACCTAAAATATATAAAGAACTTAAAAAATTAGACCCTTCACATAACTACCCAATTTAAAAATGGACCAAAGAAATGAATAGATACTTCTCAAAAGAAGAAATACAAATATGCAGTATGTACATGAAGCAATGCTCAGCATCTTTAGCCTAGGAAAATGCAAATCAAAACAAGTGTGAGGTTCCGTCACTACAGTCAGAAAGGCTAGCATCAAGAACATAAAAAACAACAAATGCTGGTGAGGGTGTGGGGAGAAAGGAACTCTTATACATTATCAGTAGGAATGTAGACCAGTGCTATGTTGAATAGAAGCACAGTAATACCTTGGTTCATGAAGGCTTCTGTTTGCAAACAGTTTGGCTCCCAATCAAAAGCATTCAACAAGATTTCGCTTCCTTTTACAAACTCTGCATCAGATGACAGACCACAGCCATCTTCCCCAAAATCATAAAACAGTTGGTTTATAAACCAGGGTACCACTGGAGTAAGAGTTGGCATCCTTGCCTTATTCCTGTTCTTTGAAAGAATAGCTTTTCACCATTGAGTATGATGTTGGCTATAGGTTTGTCATATGTGACCTGTAATACGTTGAAGTACATTCTTCCTGTACCTAATTTCTTCAGAATTTTTGCCATGGAGGAATTGAATTTTGTCAAATTGTTTTACCTGTATTGAGATGATTTTCCAGGCTTTTTTTTTTTTGTCCCTTATTCTGCTTTTTTTGGTCTCTTGTTCTGTTAATTTCTGTTAATTTGTTATTCTCAGCTTTATATACTTGAGTATATTAAATCATCCCTGCATCCCAAGGAAAAGTCCTACTTCATCAAGAAGGATGATCCTTTTAATACACTGTTGAGTTCAGTTTGCTAGTGTTTTGTTAAGTATTTTTATATCTGTGTTCATCAGGGATAGGGGTCTGTAACTTTCTTGTAGTATCCTTGTCTGGCTTTGATATCAAAATGATGCTGGCCTCAGAAGTTTGTATTTTCTCTTCAATTTTTTGGAAGAGTTGAGAAGCATTGGTATTCTTACTAGGATTTTCCAAAACCATTATTGCCTGATCCTGCCTAGAGAAACAGAAGCATTCCTTGGCATCCACAGTGAGATAATTGGCAAATTATTTAATGCAGCAAGTCAAATACGTGTATCTCTGATTGTAAGATGGACTTCATGTGTGTGTGTCTGTTGCTGTACATGGCAAAGAATATCTAGAAGAAGAATATATTAGTCATGACTGTCTCAGTTATGGTTCTAAAAGCACAAGTCATACCAGATTAAGCAAAACAAAACATAAACTACTTCATGTAACTTAACAGTGGTAGCCATGTCTCAAGCTTGACTACTTCTAGTAAGTCAAAACTTAGGCTCCCTGCCTATCTTTTCCCCTCCCAGCTTACCTTCAATTGGTCATCTGTAATATTCTCATTTTTTAGGACCCTCCATGGGCCAGTGATGTGGCCACCAGCAGCTATGGATTGACAGTTAATACTTTGTCATCTCAGAAATGTCTCCCAGTTTTCCCTAGGTAAAGATAGTGGGAGTTTCTAGGCAGCCAAAGAACCTTATTGTGGCATAGTTTTCTCTTCCAGGATGTATGAGGAGAATGTGGAAGAGCCCACAGGGTTACAAGAGCAATGTTAAGTCACTTCTGAAAAACCAGGGTTCCATTGGCTGCCTTAGGAAATTGTTAAATGTCATTGTTGTGTTGGAGCAGCACAGCTCCACTGCTCTGCTGTCCAAGCAGCTCACCAAGATCGTAAACTCTGTAACAGTAAAGGATTAAAGATACAAAGTTTAAGGAAAGGAAGACATTTTACTAGAAATGAGGAAAAAGGAGTTAGATAGCTACCCTGATAAATCAGAGTAAGGGACTCCGCCAAGATGGATGAGTGGTTGGCCCTTTATTTTCGGTTGCTTGTACTGGATGGCAGAAAGACTCCTCAGAGCTTGTCACAACCTGATTGGCTGTCCCAGGCCTTAAGACCCTCAACTTGGGTACCATGCCTATGTGCAAATTCCTAAGTAGGCTTTATTTTCTTTCGTCTTGTCAGGCTCTATCTCTGAAATTTATAGGCTAGTGAGGGAAAGACCATACATACAAGGTCGAATTACCAATTAAGGGAAAGAGGAGTGTGTGTGTGTGTCTGTGTGTGTCTGTGTGTGTCTGGGTGTTGATATGTATTTTTTATACTAAATAAGAGCTGTCTTAGTTTGGTGTAGTGGCACTTGCCTATAATCCTAGCACTGGGAAGGCTGAAGCAGGAGGATAGCCATGAGTTCCAGGCCAGCCTGGACTACATAGTGAGTTCAAAGCCAACCTAACTACATAGCAACACCCTATCTCAAAACAACAACAAAAAAAGAGCTATCTTTAAGTGGCCACCCCTTGTCTCCTTTGCATTTTATTGAAGGTGGGGAGGGGCAGCTAAACTAATTTGATTAGGGCACCTGCCTGGCTTTGGGCTTATCAGCTTTCTCTTATCTTGTTCTTTGCTCTCAGTAAAGTTTTAACTCCTTCTGGTCAGGATTAGCCAGAAAGCCCAATGAAGCCCTTATTTCATAAATTTTTTTCTGTCTACCTACCCCTTTCGCCTACATCATGACCACAAACAGGATTTAACTCATTTTTGTTTACTTAGCCAAATTACCATAAAGATATAGTTATAGCTAATATTTTTAATACTTTTTAAAGTTTGCATCCCAAGAGCTAAATTCTACATATTTCAATAGAGATTTGTGGAATAAAAAGTTTTATTTTATGATGTAATGAAACAAGTTATTGGCATGATGTTGAAGTTTATAGTCCAATTTGATTCTGGTTGTTTGATCAGTATTCAGCCTGGATACTCACTGCTGTGCTTCTTCTACAGGATGTTAGCAGTATCACATGACTAATGGGTTTCAGAGTTGTATTTGGGAACCATTGGGTTCAATGTGTTTTATTACTAAAGAATCTTACCTAACCATACAATGCTTTCTTCTGAGACTCACAGCACTGTGTTCTTGGGACATGCTTAGGAAATGCTGGCCTCTGATTGGTTCATTATTTGAAATTCACTTAATACTGAATCCAGTATCTTCAGGGCAGGTGTCAGTTTACTCACCTTGGTGCACAGTCAGGCCTTCAATTAAAGACTTCTCATTTCAAGGTGAAAACATCACAGTGTTGCACTGGCCAGAACCAGGGAGATAATAAAGTCTATATTTATAGAGTTAAGTTTTATCAGAACCAGCTGAAGAACTTCAAAAAAATACATATGGCTGGCCACCCTATTAGGATGCTTTAATGAGGGCTGGACATGTGCCCATGGAAAACTTAACCAGCTGGTCCTCAAATACAGCCTTTCGTCAAGAAATCCAATGACCAGTATTTGGGCATCAGTCAAAACCTACATGTTCTTCATTCAGAACATATTGACCAAGTGCCTTCTCTGTTTCAGGGTCTATACCTGACAATGGCTTGACTACGTATAAAAGTTCAATAAGGAAATTCTAAGTTTTTCTTCTTTTAGCTTTAGTCTTCTGTTATGGTTTGGGTCTAGATGTCCCCCCAAAGCCTCTCACATGGTCATAGAGGGGTTTTTTCGAGGTGGCTGAATCTTGAGTGTGTGATGCTGGGATTAAGGGTTTGTGGTTACTAAAAGTCCACGACTGGACTGGCACCACCCAAATCCCAGTAGTCTGGCTACAATATAAGGGTCAGAAAGAGACTTGTCTTCTCCCTTGCTTGCTTGCTTTTGCTGTCTTCTGCTTGCCATGAACTTCTTCTTTGCGATGCCCCTCTATTAAGCCACTCTGCCTTGGAGCAGCTGATTATGTGTAGGGAACAGGGAAAGGGGACGTTACTAGAACCTCTGCAGTAAGTCCTAGTCTCCTGCGAGCCACAGCAGCACAAGGCGAATTACAGGAAAGGTAGAAAAATGAGACAGAGAAGAAGTTGAGCTTTGGGTCTGATCAGTACTGCTCTGGGTGGCAAAGACGAAAGCCCCCACCTTACAGTACATGGGGAGAAACCAATGTAACAAATGACTTGCAGAGTTTGGTACATCCCTGTAAACAAGATGTAACAATCCAAGAACAATGAGGAACTGAGTAGATGAAGATTTTGTTCCTCCCAGGATGTCTTCAGCTGGTGTAATCTTGTCCTGGATAATCACAGCGTCACGGATCACTGAGGTCTCAGTTGTAACTGGAGGCCAAAATGGAATTATGTCTCAGAATTCCATAGCTGGGCTGTAGGCAGGAGAACTAGGCTGACCAAATGATTTTACCCAAAAATTATATAGCATTGCTCCCGACAATTATGGACTGAAACTGTGAGCTAAATAAATTTTTCCCTCTTAACTTTAGATGTTGGGTATTTTGTCTCAGCAGTGAGAGAAAAGTAACACGTCTGCCTTCTTCCATGGGCTGAGAGGATTGCCTTTATCTAAATTAAATCATTTAAATTTTTGAAGTTTTCTCATCTGAAATAGGTTTCCAGTAGATATTTTATACTTTGTATTGACATTCTTAAAGCAGGGGCAGCAAAGAAAGGCAATCACATATCAAGAGGTATGAAAAAATGAGCTCTAAACAAATTGATTTAAATAATCCATTTTATTGCATTTTAAGAATACCACTATTACTAACCATTATCAAGCAACTACTGTATATCATGTATTTTTAACATTCTTTGAATTTTTAAAAGCCCTCATTTTGCAGATGAAGAAAAATCAAAGAGAAGTTAGATAACTAGCAATTTTCTCTGGCTACTTGCCAGCACTATTGCTCTTCAGATCAAACAGAAAATGAGGTGACTCTACCAAATCATCCCATTGATCTCCAGGGTTGACTGGCCAGGTATAGGTGATCTCCAAATAGCCTAGATGTAAATAGGTGTTACTTGAAAAAGGTTGTATTTGTTGAACATAAGATCAACATTTTATGATCTCTAGAGCTTTTTTGTTAGGCCACTGATGGTCCTAATGCATTATAAACAACTAATCTGAATCTGTTCTAGGAAGATGCTTAAATTGCTATAAAGCTTACAAGTTACTAGAGATTCTACTCTAAACTGAACATGAACTGTGTTGGTCTGGTGAAAATAACAAGACTCAAGACACTATCGCAATGATGGGAAAACTCCAAACTAAGCTCTGAAGCATCAGCAAAAATTTTAAGTAGAAAGGACAGCCAAATTAAACTACCTGATCAGTACCATCCAAGGGACTTAACTGAGAACACACAGTCCAAGTATTAAACATCAACCGTTACTGGAAAATGACTAGAGATGGCTATGAAAATGGCAGGTTAAGAGAACAAACTAATAGAGAAAAATAGATAGTAAACTAAAAGAACAAAACTTCAGGAAGTGATGTGCCCTCACTAATAAAAGCTGTCTACTATAGTTTTATGATTATCATGCTACACACTGCTATGAAGAAAACATGAGTGTATATATAACTTATACATACTTATGTAGATATACTGAGCCCTTGGAATTATCTACACTTAGCATAAGTGTAAAGAGGAAGCAATAAGAAGGGAAAGAATTAGAAGAGAAGAACCCAAGGTAGAGTTTCAAGAAAGGAATGTAACGGCCCTAAGTAGCAAAGAGACCAAATAGAAGAGCCAAGAAGTACCCAATAGATTTGACAACCAGTCACTGGTAGCCTAGAAAAGAACAATTTCAGTAGATTGTTAAGGGCATAAGCTACTGTAGAGTAGCTTTAGGAAACAAAGGGGTATGAAAAAACCTTTCAACTTTTGATTCATTCATCCTAACATGTGCTGAGTGGCTATTATGTGTTCACTGGCAATTGGATAGGAGGGCAGAAACAATTTCAAATTTTTCTCCAAGTTCTGTGAGTTTTCTTGGCCCACAAAATATTCAATGCTCCAATTCACTCACATGTGCTTTGTATATGTGATACGATACAGATTATTTAAAACAAGTGAAGTTAACATAAATATTCAATACAGTATAAGCCTTACGTAAAATATTTTCACAAAGCTTACAAGTGATCCATGGTTGTACCCACTGGATTAATTTCTTCTTCAAAGTTACCAGTCCCTGTAGCTAAAGACTGGGGCCATGAGGTCATTTAGACATTTCTGTAGCATGAAATTCTATCTTCTTATAAGGAAAGTCCTTCCACTTTGTGTACTGTTTCTGAAGTCCAGTTACAATATCCTCCACCACAAAACTTTCAATCTTTATGACTGGAATCTCAAACGTCTTATATTTCCCATGTATTCCCCAGTCATGGCCACAGTTCTGGCTGGCACAGAATATCTTTTCTTTCTTTTCAAAATTTCCATAGCTCCGTGGTTTGGGGTGTGGTTTACTCACAAAGCACTCCTTAAAAGCATCTCCAATCACAGTGTGATGGGATTCCTAAGATGAAGGGATGAAACTACTTAAAAAAAAATGTCAGTGCATAATCGTAACTTTAGAAATCTCACATCTCACAATAATATGAATTGAAGAGTAGGTGAAATCCTTATTTTACATTTGGGAGAAGGAAATCGCAGAGTCAACTGTAGGACAGATTAGGATCCATTTATATTGTTCTCGACTTAGAAACATTCAGGTTGTGAACTTTCACATACAAATGAACAGACCTCGGATTACAAACACTGATAGATGCGAATGTATTGCAGAAGTAGCTCACATGTCTGCCAGATAATGTCACAGCGGTTCTGCTGTGTGCTTACTGTATAGTGCATGTGTTTGGGTTTTTGGTGCTTTACATTGTATGTTTGTATCAAAGGTGTGTAAGACTCACTTTGTTGAACTTACAAAGGAATCTGATTTACGAACTTGATCTCTTACACACCAGGGAAAGGAAGTACTTGTATACGTTTGACTGTTTCCCAAAATACCAATGTTTTACATACCTTAGTATATCTGTTAAAACTAAGAAGTTAACATCAGTACATTACTAGTAACTAAACTACTGATTTTTCTACTAAAATCTATTCTAGGACATAATATAGGATATCACATTTCATGCAGCATAACCATTTTTAATAATTAAGTGGCAGCATTTTTAAACTATTTTTTATTTTTATCTTTAATCGACACAATTGTATTCCTGTATGGGGCACAGTGTGATAATCTGATATATGTGTACAGTGGGTAATGATCAGAGTAATTAACATTTCCACTTCCTTAAACCTTTGTCATTTATTTGTGTTGTAAATCTTCAAACTCCCCATAGTACAGTTAGAAACAATGGAGCTGCCTGAAGTCACTCCCTTTCACTCATTTAATTTTAGACAGCATACTGGGGCCATTCCTCTTTCCATTGTCCTAAGAGAGGCAGAGAATCATATAATAAAAACCCAGGTTATCTCTGATATTCTAGGTGAGAGCACATTGGATCCCTTGGTCTGACCTTCGGTCACCTTCACCCTACTCCAACCTAAGAGTTCATGAATATGTACCATATCTCATGTATCTAATTAAGATCAGAGTGAATCCTGGGACAGGCATGCATGTTGAGAGCCCCTGAGAGATGACACAGCACCTTGTCAATCATTCCTGTGAATCAAACCTAGAGATTCAGGGGAGGTACCTAAAATTTCAAAAGCCTGATTTATCTGGGGGCTGCTGCTGTGTGCTGTGATCTGTATGCAGTGCTTTTCCTTTCCTGTCATGGCAGCACCATCTTTTCTGTCCATGCCATATCTTTTGTTGACATGGACTTGGCCTAAGCACAACTTCCTGAGATCCTCAGTAAATCTAACTGATTTCCACTCTCCATCAGGTAATGAACTTGCAATGCGTTGCTCATCACACACAAGAGCCTGGATTATATCTACTGAATTCATCACATGATAACATTCTCATTTAGTGCTGTATAAAATATGTAAAAATTATTATAACTATAGTTATCCACTGTGCTAAAGAACATTAGAACTTATTCTTTCTAACAGTATTTTGGTATCTGTTATTTGGCCACTCTTTTCTCCCCACCTCACTACCATTTCTAGCCTTTAGTGACCAATAGTCAATACTTCTGTAAGAGCAACATTTTTACCTTCCATGCATGAGCAAGAAGATGCAGTATTTTTTATGTACATGAACCATGGCCACAATAAGTAATACTATTTTTTTTTTACCACGAATAGATAGTAATCTTTAACAGTGCTAATACACAAAAGCCAGGTACTTTTTGTAAAAAGGCTGCTTACCTCTATCACTCGAATGTCATCTGTATAACATGCCAAGACTTTGCACTTTCCACAGAGCAGTCTTTTATTCCCCTTATCAGGGACGGGTTTGGGTTTTGGTTGACTATCTCTGATAAATTTTTCTTGACCCTGTATATGGTGAATCTACATGCCAAAAGAAAAGCCTCATAAAGTAATCCAAGCAAAGCTAGGATATATATGTACACATACACACGTGCATACACACATATACATATATCATCATTCATATACAACTTCCAAGACCATCTATTTGTATTGTTTTGTTTGTAAAAATCTCATAGATAATTTTACTGGTTCTCCTAACTTTATTATTTCAATGTCTCAAATTAGTCTTTCAATGCCCTTCTCAAAGATACCATAAAAGGACTGAAGATGTTCATAAAACAGTCACATAAACCATGCTTCCTACTATAACAGTTGGCAACACCTTAGAAATCCTTCACAAATCAATGGACTATTTCAGGCACAGTTATACCCCATTGCAGGTATAAATAAATTGAGTGGAACAGAAGGAAAAGCAGCCCCCAGTATCTAAAATATTTTCTTTCTCCTTTTCAATCATGGAAAATACTGAGTTCCAGTAAATTTAAATGTATATATAGAATGACTGTGTTCTAATTCAAAATATAGGTCTTGGCTAAGAATACCTAAGAACCCTGGACAGTATACACAAAATAAAAGATTCTGAAGGGTGAAGAGAGGAAGGCAGACCAGCTAAAAAAACAAAGGGTAGCCGGGGATTTAGCTCAGTGCTTCTGGCGCCTCCCCAGCAAGCGCAAGGACCCGAGTTTGATCCCTGGTACCAAAATAAATACATAAATAAAAACAAAGGGTAAATAAGAAGCAAAATGGAGGATAGATATTGGGAAGTAGGAAGAACATGTTCAAATGGGAAGAGGAAGAATGGAGGGGAGAGAAGGGAGGGAAGGAAGGAAAAGAGAAGAGATTAAAACAAGAATGGAAGGAAAAAATAGAAACAAATCTTTTGTAAATGGGGAGGGGAAGAGGGGTTGAAAAAAGAGAAGGGGAGTGGAAAAAAGAATTAAGATATATTATGTACAGGTACACATTCCCCATGATGAACGTGATGATTCTGTATAGCAAATATACATAATAATTTTTTTTTTAAACTGAAGGGGAAAACAAGACATTCTCAGATTAAGAAAACTAGTAATTTGTCAGCAGCATACCTACCCTAAAATGAATGCCAAAGGAAATTTCAAGTGCAACAGTTTCATAAAATACAAGATGGGAACAATGGTAGCATCCCTCTCATGGGAGGTAATACTAGTTTATAACTGTTCAGGACTGCCTGGTACAGGGCAAATGCCCAAAGTTGTACCCTTGGTCCGCCATGCTAGTCTTATGCAAAGAACTATGAAAATGTTAAGGATGGTGGCTTGTCTTTAGTACTGTGTAGGGCAGTCCCATTCATTAGCTAATTTTCACAAGGATCACAGCTGATTTCATCTATTCCATATAAACTCATTAACTTTTATCATGTTAGAGATATCATTTATACTTTGATTATGGGATATGATAAACCTATAAATGAATTTGGGATAAATGTATGAAGGAATCCACTGCTGCCATCCTGATCAGAGATCCCTCTAAACAACCCCTCCCAGGACAGCTGCATCTGGGACTCATATCACCATCAGCCCTGCTACTGATAGCAGCCACTGTTCCCTGCACTTTCCCAAGCCGCGTTCTTGGGCAACCATCACTGCTTGTGCTCTCTCAAGCCCTGGTTCTTAGCAGGGAGCCACAACCTCCTCTCACTGAACTACTCCTTCCGCAGGACCCTACAAAAGACCCCACAGCCTGAATGAGAGTTGCTGGTATGCTCTCTAGTGCCACAGCGATCCCTCTCACATCGGCTCTGAAATAAACCGGTCCTGTTGACAGGTTTCTTCTTTCCCTTTTTCCTAACAATGTACATCTATAAAATATTCAGTCATTCCCTTCAAGAACACTGCATTTCTTTTGTCTTAATTTATTTCTACATCTCCAAATAAAACTTAGAATTGCCCTATTTATCTTTCAAACTTTTCTACTCAGGCCAGTAGAAGTAGTGGTTAAACAGATGGCTTTACCAGCTTCACTTTTAGCCATGTGATCCACTGGTGCTGAAGCTTTTATGCTCAGTTTCTCTCCTAGGCAGTGACACATAAGAGTCTCTACAGCATCGATCCCTGAGAGACCAGCTGATATGTGGGGCCTTGGTGGTGTCTGTTCCATCTGTCTGGGCTGCAGTTATTGTCAATGTGAAAGAAAAATCTCCCTCTTACATGTTCCGATTGGTTATTGATCACAAAGAATCCACTGATTCCTACTGCACTTCAAACTCATATACAATTTGATTTGCTTTTTTAAAAATTTAGACCTGGAGCCAAGAGTGGTGATGCAGGCCTGTAATCCCAGCGGTTGGGAGGCTAAGACAGAAGGATAGAAGTCAGTCTGAGGCCAGCCTGAACTATATAATGAGCCCCTGTCTCAAAAAACCAAACCCCTACCCCCCAAAAAAATTAGACCTCGAGCATAAATTAAGAAAATAAAAATATGACTCTGTCTCTTCATGTACTGACTCATCCTACCCGAAAGTATCTTGTTTTTGTAAAAATAGAGTGTTTATGTCCCCCATTTTCAATCTAATTTTTCACTACTGTAAAGCTATTATATTATGTATACTTATTCCATTATTTCCTTTGGATAAATTTCTAGAATTAAAATTCTTAGGTTATATGATACACATTTCTGTATGAGTAATTTTAATTTTTTTTTTCAGGCATGGGTGTAATCACTACTTCAGGCAGGATGGAGGGTCAGGAGAATGTAACAGAAAAGAGGGTAAAAAAATGTAAACTTTTCCCTTAGGCATACAACTGTTTTTTAACTCACTTACATCTAATGGTATTTAATTATACACTAAAATTTCAATTAAATAGTAATAATCTCATGTATTTTAAATGTTATTATTGGCAACAGATATAAATCCAGTAAGTTACAACAATTACTGCTATTTTAAAAACTAAGTAAAAGTCAATAACTGATTAAAGAGTTTCAGCCCAAGTAATATGTCTACAGCACACTACCTCCCAGCCCCCACATTTTTGGTTGAAAGAAGAAGCCTCACTCCATGCACTGAGGTGGAGAAAAGCAAAACTATGGAATCCTGATTGTGGGTAGTCATGGGTAACCACCACGATGGAAGTTCTTCATTCAAAGGGAACTTTCTTTCACTTCCTATCTTGTTCTCTGCTCCATGAGGAAGGGAAAGTAGGCTTCCTCATTTTTATCTCAGAACTTTATATCCACAAGTATCCAAAATACTCCACCTGAAGGAAATACTACCAAATTCCAAAGCTTGCATCATAGAAATGAGTTCTTGGCTATGTCTGGATGTCTGCACATTAAGTTTCTACAGAGTAACCAGAGAATTCCACAGGGGTCACAATACTCTAGTGATGGTGGCCCACACACATAGACAATGTCGCTGGGGAAAAAAGTGCAGTCTCCCCAGAAGATTACTCTAAGGAGCTCCAAACCTTTCCCTTTTCTTCTGCAGAGTTTCTTCCTTCTATTACAATCAATATGCAGGGACTAGGGTGCTGAGGTCCAACTATAAGTTCCCACTAAATGCTAAAAAAGGGGGTCTCACCTTTGAAAGCAAGCTTTCCTTTTTAAACAGAACTGCTGGGCTGGTCATCTATAATAAGACAGGAATGTCACCAAGACTCCAGGCTCTCAGCTGCCACAGAATTACCAGCTACCAGTGACACCTGGCATACTCATTCTGGGTTGCCTCTCATTCTTTACCATCTCTGCCCATGTTCTACCTTTGTATGTTAGGCAAACCTCACATGTTACTCAATAGCCTAATTCAACAGATACTGCTTCTCAGCCTACTCCTTAACCTGGTGTGCTGGCCACAAAAGAATGTCTCCATCTGGTTCAGCCTCCATCTTCCTTAACAGACTTTTCTGTATTGCTTCTGTCACGTGAGAGTCTAAGTGTCTTGTTACTCAGTAGAAGAGATAAAAATTATGCCATGGTTATACAAACTCAATATGGTTTGAAAGCTTTCATTGGTGACATCCCTATATTCTACAAAATGAGATTCATCAGTGAAAAGAGAACCCTATCAGTAAAATTAAGCAAAAAACAAAAGATCACCCTGCAATTCTCACCAAAAATGTGGCAAAGTTAGTTTGAGATATATTAATCTCCAAACTTTAGGAAGAAATACTTTTTAAAAATGAGTAAACACTGACATAAAATTTTCATTTTGTCCATAAGTATATAACTTTAGATAATTGCTTCTCAATACTTTTTCTGTCTTAGGGATTCTGACTTTTTAAAATCATAGACACTATGGAGTTGGTCAGCTGAGTTGTAAGGTTCATCTTTTTTCTTTTTTCTTTTTTTTTTTTTGATACTGGAGATCGAACTCGGATCCTTGCACTTGCAAGGCAGGTAGTGGAACCACTGAGCTAAATCCCTGGCCCTGTAAGGTTCATCTTAACAAAGTTAGACCATGCTTCATGCCTCTATCCAATAACTGCTCTCACTTTTCAATATATATTTTATACTAGGTACTTTGCTAATTAATGCATATTTCTTATTTTATTCTCTCAACTGCTCTGTGAGTTAAAAAAAAATTATTTTTATAGCCAGGCATGGTGGCACATGCCTGTAATCCCAGCATTCAGGAGGCTGAGGCAGGAGGATTGCCTCCAGTTCAAGGCCAGCCTGGAGTACATAGTGAGCTCAAGGACAGCCTAAACTACATATCAAGACCTTGTCTCAAAAACAAAGAAACATAAACAAACATTATTTTCACAACTTTACAAAGGATATGGCTTAAAAGACAGAGTAGCTGCCTCCAATCACACTGTAAGTGGCAAAAATGGGAAATGAATCACTGATTCTTGTGTCAAAACTCTTCCCCAGCCTTGGAGAGGCTTCCAGAGATTCTGAGATGAAAATCTCTACAAAAGGTTTGGAGAAAATGTGGGTAAGCAAGCATGTATACATGTGTGGCTATATTTCTTGACTTTATGCAATCTGATTTCAGGCTTCTGTGTACAGAAGAAATTACAATAAAATTAAGGTCACTGTGGAGCAGGTATGCCACTCTGAGATATACACTATGATCCATACCTACAAGTAAACATCCCAGAACCTGCCCTATGACTGGGGAGCTTTTCTCTGACAGTAGAGAAAGATTGGAGGAAGAAATGAAGAGCTGTGTCTTATAGTACCAAGGTGTGGTCCTCAAGATGAACTATCAAAGTAACAACAAATGTAGCTCAGTTTGCCCTTTAGATGTAAAACAGAACTTCAGGTATTAGCACTCATAAAGTATATTTTAATCTCATTAACACTTAAAAAAACTAATTTTGGCTAGAATTGTATGGCTCAGTGGTAGATCGCTTATCTAACGTGTGAAGCCCTGGGTTCAATCCCCAGCACCAAAGACAGACACACAGACAGACAGACAGACACACACACACACACACACACACAGATTCAACAAATTTAAAATGTTCACTACAGGACAAAACTTTAAACATAACCTTACTGTTCTAATACAACATTCTACACAATATGCTAAAATATACCAACCACGCTCATGTTCCCTGGTTTTTGTTTATGATCAGATCCTAAAAGAGGAAGACAGATGAAAAGACTTACTCTCTTTTGAAATGTTGCTTCATCCCATGTCTGAAGAATTGAAATGGAGTCATTCATCATTTTTTCCTTGTATAAGTTTGTATTTTCTTTTTCAATTACATCAGCATTACTACTCAGGAGATAGCACTTGCTACCTTTTGCTCTTCCTCTGCCTACCAGGAAATAAATATTTTTGGTGGTTTTGACTTAAAATTCTGATACAATAAAAGAACAGGTAAAAGGATAGAGATATTCCTGAAATTCAATTACAGTCAATGAATCCTTCTTCCTAGGGAAATCAAACTGTTAAAGAGTTCATCAAGGGCTGGGGATTTAGCTCAGAGGTTCCGCTGCCAGCCTTGCAAGCACAAGCACAAGGACCTGAGTTCGATCCCTGGTACCAAAGAAAAGAAAGAAAGAAAGAAAAAAGAGTACATCAAATGCACGTATGCATCTACATGGCAAACATGCAGACAAATGAAGAGCCCACCTTAGGCTAGCTTTCCTGGGGTCTCCAGTGATGCAATGTGATTAGACAGCCATATTGTCAGAAACACTCCTTTAAATATAATCCAACATGAACCCTCAGTCTGACTCTGTGAACAATCTATGATGAATAATAAATATATCCTCACTCAAGAGTCTTTTAAAAATGGGGAGACATATTCACAACCACCAGCAAGTACATGGAAAACTTTAAGAATGCTCTTACACCACCAACAGTGTGAAAAGACAACCCACAATGTGGGAAAAAAATTTTCACCAGCCATTCCTCAGACAAAGGACTACTATCTACAATATATAAAGAACTTAAAAAAATCTTCCCAAAAGAATTACAAGAATCATATCACAGTGATATATGTGCACCCATATTCATAGTAGCACGGTTTGTAATAGCTGAAACTTGGAAACAGCCCAATTGCCATCAACTGGAGACTGGATAAAGAAAATTTGTTTTGTTTTGTTTTTATATAAAATGGAGTACTACTCCAGCCATAAAGAACGAGAAATTAGAGACATTTATAGCTAAATGGATGCACATTGAGGCAATACTCTTAAGCATAAATAGGACACACGTGTAAATACCAAATAGTTTCTCTGGTGTGAGAAACTGCAAGTATAAGGACTAAAAGGTATAACAGATAATGTGAAATAGGAAGAAAAGGGGGAAAGGGGAAGCGGAAGAGGTAGGGGAAAGGAAAGAAGGGAATGAAATTAATATGAGAAAATGGAAAAATAGGAACAAAATCTTTGTAAATAGGGAGGAATGGAGGGGTTGAAGGGAGGGCTGGGCAAGGGTGAAAATAAGAACCAAGAGAGACTATGTAAAGGTGCAAATTTCCACTGATGAATGTCATTATATTGTATACCTAAAATGTACCAATAAAATTAATTTTTAAAAAAGAGTGCTCTTACAAAGAAAAGGCTATTGGCCTTTAAGAGATTATTTTAATGCAGGGAATTAAGGTCAGGTGCAATGAAGGCATAGGGAGAAGTAAAATAAAGGGTAGCAGCACATGAGCAATTCTTTAAACTAGGAAAATGGATGAAGTCTGGTTGGCTGAACTGGATAATGAACAAAGGGAAAGAATGGGAAACAGGTTGGAAAGGTAAGTGAATACACTGAAATTTGAAAATTCTTTAACATCAAGTAAAACAGGGAACAACTAGAGTTTCTATTGCCAATCTCTGTTTCATTCCAACTTTAGTATATGTGAGTATTAGAAGTGAGTATTAGATTTTCTATATTGAAAATGATATTCTGAGAGCTGCTTTTCAAGAAAAGTATTGTGGCAGCTATTCTTACAGATACTGGAAAAAAGGAAGAAAAAGGAGGGGGAGGCTGGTTGGAGACTCTTTAGTCCAGGTGGGACAGAAGGACTCTGGAGCATCTCTTCTGGAAAAAAGGGAGCCACCAAGCCCATAACTGAAAGTTCTACACAGTGACCAATGAAGCCTCAACCCAAGTTGGATATGAGTCAATCTGGTCAAGTAAGCAGTACCACTGTGAACAAGAATCACAACAGGGTATGTTAGTGGACAAAACTATAACTATCCAATCCTGACCTTTTTGGGCCAATGATATGAGAGCCCACTGTTCCATTGGTCACATATTCATGGCTCAGTAAGGATAAAGGCAAAAATGACAGACATACAAACCACACAAAATGGGGGCCATGTCAGAATGGCATCAAAGCTTCTCACCTCTGCTTTGGATCATTTTGATGACATTGCCCACATACTCATACAAGATAACTAGATTGCACTGAGCAATGTCAATGCCTTCATCAGCAACCGAGGTGGCAATCAGAATATTATCTCCATTGGCTCTGAATGAATCCAATACACACTTCTGTGCTGGGAGGGTCATTCCTGTGTCAGAGTAAGAAGGTATTACAGAACTCACCAAAGAAAGAAACTTCCCCTCGAACATCTGGCTACTAATTATGGAATGCTTATTACAAGCTAGGTATTGTGATAACTGCTTTATAATCATAATCTTCCAATAACCCTAGGCAGTAGGATCCTTTCCTCTGCCTGTTTTACATAAAATATTTAGAGTAACCTTTAACAGCTGAAACTCTGCCATTAATACTACCCAGAGCTCAAATCTCAGTTCTAGCACTTACTAGTAGTGTGGCTTCAGCCCTGTTATTCCAAGGCAAATATTGAAATATTGACCTTTTTTGCAAAAATATCAACATCTAATAGTAGTTAATTTAAATGTCTATAAGAGTTTACAACTGACAAAACGCTTTCAGAGCTACACAGTGGAACTTCACAAAGCCATGTTAGGTCAGTGGGCCAAGTGTTATGAATAAGGACCTTGGGTTTTGGAGGTGAGCTAAACTGACAAGCTAAACAAGTGGAAGAAATGGACCTTGAACTTAAGTCTAGGACCCAAACAGTGTGCACTACTACAGTGTCTGCCCATCCTCCCCTATCCAACCATCCCTGCCTTTTCTAAGAATCACTTTTCAGGAGTAAAACCAAGGGTAGATAAGGTTATATTATGTATATCAAAGACAACACTCTCTCTAGTCACAAAACCTATTTCTTTCTGCTCCTAGAAACACAGCTAAATTATAAATCTCAGCCTTTCACATGGGGCTTGTGGACTAAATCCTTACTAATGATAGACAGGCAGAAATAACACATGTCTCTTCCAAACCTGACCCAAGAATATTCTTATTCCTTATCAGTGGGCTAAATAAGGTTACAGGAGAAGATCAGAAAACCTCTGGGATGACAGAACCATAACAAGGAAGGAACCAGAGTCCATAAATCAGAGCAAAGGCCTATACTACTACTCTTAGACTGTGATGTAAGCAACCAATGACTTTTATTATGTTATGTCCTTGGGGTTTGTTGGAGCATCAGATTACTCTGACTTACATAAAGCCCGTTCCGTGATGAGCACTACTGGGTTAAAATAAGCACTTGAACCACACTGAGTCAATCTCCCTCTTGGAATCTAAATTGAGATCTGAAGACAAGTAGTAAATTTAGAAGGTATGGGGAATGCAAGAATGAAGAAGCAGTGAGAGCAACCTATAAAGGGAAAAGAGTGAAACCGATGTGTAAGATTCAGACAACTTTCCAATCTCAGTTCCAACTGTCCAGAAAGCCCAAGTATACTTCCTGATCATGGGTTCTACAGAGATCTGACCATCCTAGCATTTGGCTCCCCTTACTTGCACAAGCCTAAGTGAGTTTCTGTTAACTGGAGGAAAGGACGTTGTCTAAGATAGTCATGTACTGACTTCTAATACCCTATGATCTTGGAGACTAAATTTAAATCATTCAAATATAGAGTGAAGTTAGGATGTGGTAATCACCCTGTTCATGTGATCATGGCAACACCCAAAATGGTAGCTCAAAGAATATGCACACATAAAGTCAAAATTTTAAAGGGTCCAACAGACCCATCTACATTTAAATATTAGTTGAATCATCTTATGATCTCTAGTCTTCACAGAGAAGACCTATCTTAGGCAAGCAGAGGAAGTAAATATTACGTTCCTTTACCTAGTTGGCAATGGGATCCCAGTTTTTAAAAAGACCCTTCTAAGTTTATGAATTAATCATAATTCAAAGTCATAAAAATTCAAGTGCAGTTTTATTTTTAGACAGTTTCTTAAAAATCAATTCCTGTATATTATTGATTTTACTTTTGAGTTTTCTTGAAAAATCTTTGTTAAAGATGCAGATCCAGATTTCTTTTGTTAAAGATGCATACATATCTTCCACTCCTTTTGAACCCATGTATTCTCAGTAAAACCAAAACCAAAACCAAACAAATGAACCATGTAAAAGGTCTATATGTGACCAAGAGCTAATATCTAGCATATGTTGAGCACTCACCATGTGCCAAGCACTATTCTAAACCAGGAGTTGGCAAACGTTTTCTGTAAAGGCTGGGTAGTAGGTATTTTAGGCTTTGTGGATTATACTATCACAACTACTCAACACTCCCATTATAGCATGAAAGCTGCCAAACGATACATAAATGAATAAGCATAATTATGTTCCAACAAAACTTTTTATAGATATTTAAATTAGAATTTCATATACTATTCATATATCAGGAAATATACTTTGTTTTTTTCAACCACTTAAAAATGGAAAAATTATTCTTAGCTAGTGAATCATTCAAAAGCTTGTGGTAAGTTGGATTTTGCTATTCATTCACATTAACTCTATGAGCCAGATGCTATCACTATTTTTCTATTGGACAGATGAAGAAAACAAGGCACAGAGAGTAGATAACCTGTTTCTTCACAGGGAGCCAAAAGATGGCAACAGAAACAGGAATTTGGGGACATTCAGATTTAGCAAAATGAACATTTGCTTATTTATTTGCAACTTTTTGTAAAAGCTCACAATTTTTTTAGTTTAACGTAAGATTAACATGATGTGAAAGGAAGAAGAATAGGCCAGAAAATAATTTAGTCAAAATCATCTTAATGCATCTATTCATTATCAAACGCTCATTCGGCAATTATAGATTATGGTTTGTCAGCTAAGGAAATTATGGTTAAAGACTCTACTTTTATCCCAGCTCATATTTTGTGAAAGAAGGACATGGACGGGAAGCTGTGGTTCAGCGGGATGGGCAATGAAATGGATGCTGTGGGAATGGAGAGGAGGGGCATTTCGATCAGTTTACAGAAGATGAGGAGGCATAGTCCCTGACACAGAGTAAGTTCCAAGTACAAGTTGGATGGAAGAGTGAACAAAGAAATAAGAGAATGTTTTCTGAGTGTGCATTTATGGGGGAATAGCAAAGCCTAAAAATCTAGTTGGACTCAATGATGGAGTCCGAGTACAGAGAACTTTGAATTCCAACCACACTAAGATGGTATTGGACATCATTTGGTAAGCCACATTTTCAAAAACCTGAATGTACAGTTTATAACTCATGAAATTCAGAGATTCTATGAAGGGAAAGTGCAAGTGTGACTGATGACTGAGGGCCGGAAGGGCAGGGAAGAAGCAGGGGTTGATAACTTTAAATAAAACTAAGAGCAGTAGGGTGAGGACCTGTCACTGCAGGTCATATAATATTTCATGAAATAATTTCTAAGGTGTGGGGAACACAGCTGTGTGGAAGAAGGATTGGGGCTGGCCTAGGAGCCTCCCAAACCCAAAGCATACTTTAACCATCCTAGCCAGATTTCAGAATTGTTTGTTTAGACTTTTTAAACTTTTAAATATATAATATACAGAAGAGATATATATCTACAGTTTAATAAAGAATAACAATATAATAGAAACAGAATATTCCTATTTCCAGTTAATCTTACATTTGTTACTTGAGAATCTGAGGAGAGAGGAGCACTCAAATAGTATTTAAAAAACTTTGACTTGCCTGCAAAATATGTAAGAGGTAGTTTACTACAAGGAAAGAGACTAATGTGATTACAGTGTTTGAGCAATGTGATGGCCTCTTTTTAAAAAAAGTTTGAAACAAGATCTCACTAAATTGCGTGGGCTGGCCTTGAAATTGTGATCCTCCTGCCTAAGCCTCCTCAGTACTGGGATTACAGGCATGTTCCACCATGCTTGACATGTGATGGCCTTCTGATGCATCAACTGTGCTAGGGTGAACTACAATTTCCAGCTATTCTTCTAAATACTGCTTGAAGGGATTTTGCATGTGTGATTATAATCCCAAATCAGTTCACTTTAAGTTAAATAAAAAAGACAGGTTTAACTTATTCAGGTAAGCTTTTTAAAGAAGGTTTAGGCTTTTCTTAAGCTCAGAGATTTCAAACAGCTCATGCTTGTGCATTCCATAGTATTACTGACCTTTCCTTCCTGACTCCTTGCCCTACAGATCTCAGACTGCTTTGCCAGCCAAACTGTATGAGCCAATTCCTTGTAAGAAATCTCTGTGTACTCATGAATGTAGAGATATATATTAATACACATACACACACCATATCCAGGTATAATATCTTACTGATTTTGCTTCTCTGGGTTAAAACCTGACTGATAGAAGCATTAAAAAAGAATGTGAATATATTATATATTTATATATATTATACTAAATCTAATTGACTATATTTAAGTACCTGTTTTATTACTTGTTCTGCCACGTCCAGTTAATATGCCAGGTTTTAGAAAGTTAAGTGCAGAATTTTCTTCAATCCATTTTTTTAAAGCCTATAAATGAAAAGCAATTATCAGTTAGCTGCTATTTGTAAATCCTTTATATTAATTCAATACTGAAATATATATATAAATAAGAGCAGTGTTAAAGCTAATAAACAGAGGGATTTGAGACTGACAAACCTTGAACTCCAGGCAATAATTAACTCTATGATACACAACTTGGTGACCCACTATGATTTAATCTTCAAGATATATTATAAATAAAAAAGCAAAGTTCATAATAGTGAATACACAGAATTAAGCCAATTCAACAAGACTTCAGGATACAAGATCAATATATACAAATCAACTGTACTTCTACATATTAGCAATAATTAGAATTTGAAAATTTTAAAAGTACCATTCATAATAACATTGGAAAAATTACAATGTAGGTATAAGCCTAACAAAATATAGAATTTCTATGCTGAAAATGATGAAATATTTACAAAAGAGACCAAAGAAGATGTGGTAGGTATCTTCTAAGGTAGCTCTCGATGATCTCCACTTCCTATATTTAAGTCACTGTGTAATCCTCTCCCCATGAGTGTGAACTGAACTTAGTAACTTGCTTTTATTACAGACATTTTATGACAGGGCATCAGTTCCAAGATGAAGTTATAAAATGTGTCTGGCTTCCAAGTTAAATAGTCTTTTGCTCAATCATTCTTGAATCACTCACTCTAAGGAAAGTTACCTGCTTTGTTGGGAGGCAGCCCTATGGAAAAGCTCAAGAGTGAACTTGGAAGCACATCTTATGAGGCCTGCTAATAGCCATGTTAAGGGAGCTTGGAAGTTGATCTTCTCCCAAACAGTCCCTGAGATGTCTGTAGCCATGGCCAACATTTTGACTGCAGCCTCATGGGAAACCTCGAACCAGAAAAGCCCAGTTCAGTTGTTTCCAGATTCCTGACACCTGGATATTTTAACATAATAAATGTTTGTTATTTCCTGACACTAAGTTTTAGGGTAATCTATTACTCAGCAAGAGCTTAATAATATAGAAACCCTATAAAAATGAAGAGATACACTACAGTAATGGAATAGAAAACTCAATATTCTTAAAATGTCATTTTTCCCCAGATTAATCTATAGATTCAAGGCAATCCCAAATAAAACTTTAGCAGATTTTTTTCCATATATGTGGACAATCTGATTTTAAAATATAGAAAGGCAGGGCCAGGGGTTTAGCTCAGTGGCACTACGCCTGCCTCAAAAGTGCAAGGTCCTGAGTTTGCGCCCCGGTACCAGAAAAAAAAATAAATAAAATATAGGAAGGCAAAGGAATATAGCAAAAACAATATAAGAAAAAAGTTAAAGACCTTACACTACCTCATTTCAAGACTTCTATTTGAAAAGAGAAGATAACACAGAGAGTACTGGAATAAAGTACAAGATTCTGATTCCCAATCTCTGTCTCCTAACCATAAATTGTATGACCATGGACCATGAACAATGGATTAATATTACTAAATTTTTCTCTAATAGTAAAAAAAAAAAAAGATTTACTATAAGTCATAGCAATCAAAACAGTGTAGGATGGGTTAAAGGACAGATGTAAAGATCAAAGGAACACGGTGAAAAATACAGAAAAATATCCAGGCAAATGCAGTCAACTGATTTTCTTTTAAAGTTACTAAAGCAATTCTATCAAGAAAGGATAGTCTTTGGCTGGAGATTTAGCTCAGTGGTTCTGCCGCCTGCTTTGCAAGTACAAGGTCCCTAGCTCAATCCCCGGTAACAAGAAAAACAAAAACAAAAACAAGAACAAGAAAGGATAATCTTCTCAACAAATCATGCTGTAAGAATTGGATGTCCATATTCAAAAAGAAAAAGAAAACAGCATTTAATCTATCATACTTGATTCAAAAATTAATTCAAAATGGATTGTAGGCCTAAATATAAAATGTAAAATTATAAAACTTCTAGATTGTAACAGAAAAATCTTTGTGACCTTAGGTAAGCAAAGGGTTCTGAGATATAAAAACCACAGACAAAATCCAGAAAAAAAATTATAAACTACACTTTATCAAAACTTAAAACTTTCAATATGCAAAAGATACTGTTAAGATCATGAAAAACAACCCATGGGCTGGAAGAAAATATTTGCAAATCACAAGACTCACAGAGGACTTTTTAACAGAATAGAAAATGTCCAAAAATTCAATAGTAAGATGGTAACTTGTTTTTTAAATGAGAAAAAAAAAATCTGACCAGACACACCACCAAACAAAATATGGAGATGGTTAACAAGCATATGAAAGATTTTCAACCATATCAGTCATTAATGATACAAATCAAAATCCTAATTAAGATGCCATTATATGTCCATGGAATGGGTAAAGTTTTAAAATTCGAAGGAGAAGGAAGATGGCAGCATAGAATATAGCAGCATATCCCAATCTTTCCAGGACCTGAACTAATGCCTCCTAGAAAACAATGAAGAGAAAAAGAAGAAAAGCTCGGGGAATTAAGAAAGAGCTGACAGGAAAACTAGAAATTATAGAGAAACCAGGGAATTTGAAGAAAATGCGGGAAAAGAAGCAAGCAGACTGGTATACTAATCTCGGCTCCTAGGGAGGTAAGCCCAGAGAGGGTCAGCAGCCCCAGAGAGAAACAACAGACCAGGGCAGGAGCACTGGCCTCAATAAAAGCACCCTCATTGTAAACTGCAAAGAGAGCATGGGGTTTTATTCTGAAAGTGACTTCTTCCACATGGCACGATAGAGTGGAGAAGAAATATATTGCTGTACCCACCATATTTGAGCGTGATCAACCAGTACTCATTTGGGAAAGGGAAACACACACACACAATGATGAATGTTTTAACTCACTAAAACAAGCACACTATATGTTGTCTGGATGGAACCAGCACTTAGACTGAAATGTCACCCCTTTGTGTCTGCAATGAGACACCATGTGTGACTCACTCTCTTGGTCCATACAGGTTCTTTCAAGTTAGATCTTCAGTTCTACTATCAGGCAAAGTTACAGATACTAAGCAGGTTTTTTTTTTTTTAACTTTGCTGTTCAAGTAGTGGAAAGTGCGAGCATGGACTGTTTGACAACCATGGTATCACTGTATGAGAAAACAAGACAATAAAAATGCCTCCAAAAACTACCATCTGCCCCAGGCTGATCAATGGGACACTGATGATGAAGAAATCAGAGGTCAAATAGCTGAATTATAAAAAATGGTTAAAAAGAAGACAAACCCCAAATCAATAAGGTACTCAGTGAGCTCAAAGATGATATAACTAAATAGAAAATGGACTTAATAAATAAAATGATCAAGAAGCTTAAATAATACCAATAAAAAGCTAGCTGAGCTAAACAAAATGCTATAAAACATGAATGAATAGTTTAGCAAAGAATTAGAGCCCGTGAAAAAGCATCAAACAAAAATCCAGGAAATTAAAACTTCTAGTGAAAGTATGGGCAGTAGAAATGATTAATGGGAGGAGACAGTGTAAGAACTAGAAGACAGGCTGACGCAGGTAACAACATAGTCAGAGACACCATAACAAAGGGTCATGGAAAATGGACCCAACAGCTGCTTGATGATGCAAACATGACTAATTTAAGATTAAATGGAATTAGTGAAATATCAGAAGATGGTATGAATGGTATAAAAAACCATGTTTATAGAAAACATAGCAGAAAACTTCCTAAGTATTGGGAAAGAATACAACATGCAGGTAAATGACACATATAGGACACCAAATAGCCACAATCAGAAAAGAACATCTCCACATCAGAGTCAAACTCCCAGAAGTTCAACACAATGACAGAATCTTTCTGTTAGAGAAAAGCAATGAATCACTTACAAACATAAAACCATTACAATTACAGCAGACTTCTCAAAACAAACTTTAAAGGCCAGGAGAGCTTGTAGGAATGAAGGATTTCAAGCCCTAAAAGTAAACAGCTTCTAACGCAGATTCTTGTATCCTGTAAAAATATCAAAATTGATGGAATAATAAGGTATTTCCATGATAAAGAGAACCTCTAGAAATTTATGACCAGCAAACCAGCTCTACAAAAAAATTCTCAAAGATATCCTAGAAAGACAAAATAAAGCCAATAATGCCAAAAAGTCTAGTAGAATGAATATATGAGGTAGGGTGAGCAGTTAAACAGAAGGGGAGAAAAAAGGAACAACAGGAAAATAATGCAAGTACAGGAGTAGGTCAGTACCTTTCAGTAATACCTCTCAATGTAAATGGTCTCAATTTCCTAATCAAAAGACACATCAGCAGATTCAATTAAAAAACAAAAACTAACACTATGCTGTATAGAAGAAAAATATTTAATTTTTTAAAAACCACAGATTAAAAAAGCAAAGGATGGAAAACTATGTCATGCAATGGTAGCCTAAAAAAAATTAGGAGTAATTATCCTATTTACAGAAAAAGTGGACTTTAAGGCAAAACTGATCAGAAGAGGCAAAGAAGGTCATTGCATATTGGTTAAGAAAACAATTCAATGGAAGTGAAAACAGTTATAAACATATATGCACCAAATACCAGCACACCCATCTTCAAACAACAAACACTACTGGACACAAATGAGCAGATACACGTAAACACAATTGTAGCGGGGGACCTCAATACCCCACTTTCACAAATAGATCAGCTAAACAAAAAAATCAACAAATAAATATCAGAATTGAACCAAACCTTCCAGCTTAATAGATACCAACTGTGTTCCACTCAACAAAAGCAGAATACACATTCTTTTCAGCAGCATATGTGACTTTCTCCAAAATAGACCACATATTAGCCCACAGAGCAAGTTTAAGTAAACACAATCAAAATTATCCTGTAAATATTATCAGATCATAGTGCCATAAAACTAGAAATAAATGGCAAAAATTTATGCAAACACATGAAGATTAAACAATATATCTTGAACAACAAATGGGTTACAGAAGAAATTACTAGTTCCTGGATCAAATGATACTCCAAGTACAATATACCAGAACCTATGGGACACAATGAAAGAAGTCCTAAGAGGGAAGTTTATAGCTGTGAATTCCCACATCAGAAAAACAAAGTGAGTCCAAACAAATAGCCTAATGGTACACTTCAAGGTCCTAGAAAAACAAGAACAATCCAAATTCAAAACTAGTACAAAGAAGGAAAGTATGAAGGTCAGAGCAGAAATTAATGAAATTGAGAATTAAAAAAAAAAAGAATCAATGAAACAAAGAGCTGGTTCTTCAAAAGACTAAACAAAATAAGACAAATCTCTATTCAGTCTTATCGAAGGATAAGACCCATACCAATGCAATTAGAAATGAAAAAGGCAAAATCACAACAGACACTGCCAAAATTCTTAAGATTATTAGTAACTACTTTGAAAATCTATACTCCAACAAACTAGAAAATCTAGAAGAAATGGATATATTTCTAGGTACATATGAATTACCAAAACTGAACCAAGAAGATACAAAAACCCTGAATTATTCAATTACAGGCAATGACACAGAAGTAGTAATAATAATTAAAAAAAACTACCAACTAAGAAAAGCCCAAGTTCGGATGCATTCACTGCTGAATTCTACAAGAACTTCAGGGAAGATCTAATGCCAATACTTCTTAAACCCTTTAATGAAACTGAAAGGGAAGGAGTACTCCCAAAGTCTTCCTGAAAGCTAGTATTACCTTGATTCCAAAACCAGATAAGAACTCAACTGAAAGAGAATAGTATAGGCCAATCTCTTAACGGACATAGCTGCAAAGCTCGTCACAAGATAATAGCAAACAATGCAACAAATCACTCAAAAGTTCATACATCAAGACTAAGCAGGCTTCATTCCAGGGAAGCAAGGATGGCTCAACATACACAAATCAATAAATGTAATACATCATATAAATAGAAACAAAGACAAAAAGCATGTGATCATCTCTCTTGTTCAATACAGTACTCAAGACTTTAGTCAGAGCAATCAAGTGAGAGAAATAAAAGAGACAAATATAGGAAACAAGTCAAACTATTCACAGACATGATCCTTCACACAGAAGACCCAAAAAACTCTACCAAAAGACTTTTAGAGGTAACAAACAAAATCAGTAAGGTAGAAGGATACAAAATCAATACACAAAAATTAAGTATTTCTGTATACCAATAATGAACCCACCGAGAAAGAAATTAGGAAAACAGTATCATTCACATGGTTTCAAGAAAAACTGAATACCTAAGAATTAACCTAACCAAAGAAGTGAAAGATTTCTTCACCAAAAACTATAGTACTCTGAAAAAAGAAGATTGAAGAAGAAATCAGATAAAAAGATACCCCTGTTCTGGATAGGCAAAACCAATGTTGCCAAAATGGCCATACTACCAAAACTAATATATAGATATAATGTAGTCTCAAACAAAATACCAACACCATACCTCCCAGAACTAGAAAAAACAATACAGAACAAGAAGATACCCAGAATACCAGAGCCAATCCTGGGCAATAAGAGCAATGCAAGAGGCATCACTATCCAGGATTTCAAGTTGTATTATAAAGCTACAGTGATAAAACAAAAACAAAAACAAAAACAAAAAACCCAGCATGGTACTGGCATAAAAACAGACAGGTGAATCATTGGAACAGAATAAAAGATGCAGAAACAACCCCAAGTACATTCAGCTATCTGATCTTTGACAAGGAGCCAAAAAACTGGCTGTCCATATGTAGAAGATTAAATTTAGACCTGTATCTCTCACTAGAAACCAAAATAAAACAAAAATGGATCAAAGAATTAAACGTCTGCCTCGCAAGCGCAAGGTCCTGAGTTCAATCCCCGGTACCAAAGAAAAAAAAAAAGAACTAAATGTTAGAAACAATCTGCTGGAAGATAAAACTCTTAAACACATAGGCATAGGCAAGGACTTCCTGAACAGAACCTCAATTGCACAAGAGTCAACAAATGGGATTATATCAAATTAAAAAGTTTCTGCACAGCAAAGGAAAAAACCAAGAGAGTACAAAGAAAATGTACAGAATAGAAAAATAATTCTGCAAGTTACAACTCTGTGGCCAGAGGAATAATATCTAGAATATACAAACAACTCAAATAATTGGATTCACAAAATAAAAGACCTAATCAAAAAATGGGCAACTGGGCTGGGGATTTAGCTCAGTGGTTTCACCGCCTGCTGCACAAGCGCAAGGACCTGAGTTCGATCCCCGGTTCAAAAAAAAAGGCGGGGGAGGGCAACTGAAATGAACAAATAGTTTTCAGAAGAAGTGCAAATGGCCAATAAATACATAAAAAATGTTCTACATCTCTCGCCGTTACAGGAATCCAAATTAAAACAATAATGCAATTTCACCTTACTCCAGAAAGAATGGCTATCATCAGTAAGTTAAATAATAACAAATGCTGGCAAAGCTGCACGGAAACAGGAACTCTTCTATATTGTTGGTGGGAATGTAAACTCATACAACCGCTATGAATAGGAGTATGGCAATTCCTCAAAAAACTAAAAATAGAAATTCCATTCAACCTTCTAGGTATCTTCCTGAAAAAGGTAAACACATTATATTACAATGATACATGCATACCCATGTTTATAATAGCACGACTCATAAAAGCTAAGTATGTCCTTCAACAGATGAATGGACAAAGAATATGTTGTATTTATTTATATACAATGGAATACTTCTCTGGCACAAATGAGGATAAATTAGAATCATTTGTATGAAAATGGATGCACCTTGAGACCACAATGTTAAGTGAAATAAATCAGACACACAAGCCTAAATAGTGAATGGCTTCTCTTATGTAAGAAACCCAAAGTATAAATAATTTAAAAACCAAAATAAAAGATAGTAATAGGAAATAAAGAGATAAATCCTTGGCAAATAGAAAGGGGACCAAGAGATAGAAGGAGGGTAGAGGGAGGGAAGGGAAAGGGAAAGTAAAAAGAATTAAGATGTGTATATATACCAACTCCCCATGATGAATGTAGTCATTATGTACTGAAAACATGTATTAATAAAAACAAATTTTAATTAAAAATAAAAATTTGACTAAAGTTCATAGAAGGATGAACCACTTACTCTACAGGTATCAAGATTTACAATCTGATAAGACAGTGAGAAATTAGTGTAAGAATAAACAAATAGATAATCAAAACAGAATAGAGAACCCAGGAATAGTCCCACACATGTATGAATGCTCTACTTGCAGAGCAGTGAGTGAAGAGTAATCTTTGAAATAAATGGTACTGGGTCAATTTTCTATGCACAAGAAAAAAAAAAAAAAGCTTACATCCACAAGCGCTCTGGTTTTCACAAAAAGAATGGTTCTTGTCTTTGGGTTTACGTGGTACTCCTCTTGTAAGATTAAGTGGAGGTCTTTGAGTTTAGGGTTCTCATTGCTGGGATCCATGGAAACATTTTCTAGTTCTGGCAACTTTTCTGTAAATGGGAAACATGTTACAAATGGCTTATAAATTCTAAAAATGTAGAATACACTGGGTCCCTTAATTCCAACAATTAATCTATCAATCTTTGGCCAGAATTTTCTGAGCAACAACTACCATTTTAAATTGGTATAATCTTTTTAGAGGGCAATTTGGCAATATATATCAAAACATAAAGCTGACAAATCCTTTGATCGTGTAGATTTTATATTTAAGAATTTGGGACATACTTATATTTAGAAAACTATAGAAGAGGTATCCAGTGATACTCACACTACTATGGTTTAGAATATAAAAGAAAGGGCCAGGGATTTAGCTCAGTGGTTCTGGCACCTGCCTCGCAAGCTGAGGACCCGAGTTCGATCCCCAGTACCAAAAAATAAATAAATAAAAGAATATAAAAGAAAAATAGAAAACTACCTAAATGCCCAACAAGTGGGAAACAGTTTCACAGATTATGGGCTATATATTTGTTCGTACTATAGTGTAGTTGTTAAAATTAATAAGGGAGTAATGTGTATGCTGATATGGAAAGATCTCAAACATATTTTAAGTTAAAAAATCAAAGTACATGACAGTATGTTTATAGTATCACACACAGTAATACCCCGGTTCGCAAACAATTTGGTTCACAAACAAAAGCACTTAGTAAGATTTTGCTTCCATTTGCAAACTCCATGCTGGGTGACAAACATGACCACAGCCATCTTCCCCAAAACTGTAAAACAAATTAAGTTCATAAACTTGATATATATACATATATATCGAGTGTGCTTGAGCCAGAACATACCAGATTAATTATAATGAACAACTGTGAAATTTTTGAGTTATGTGAACCAGTTTTAAATACAATCACTATTAAATATTCAATTATATAAATTTCAACTCAATGACATATTAAAAACAAATGTAATAAATAGCTCACACTCATTATGTCCTAATTATTTTATTACTCTTTACTATTATCTATTGTCTTATTTATATTTCTTATATTTGTATGGTAGAAATACTATGGAATCATGAGTTACTGTTCATCTTTTTGCAATAGTTCAATAGCATTGTATTAGTGGCTTGAAATTGATTATAATGGAAGTATTTATACCAAGGGAATTGAGAAAATACTAAAAATCAGTATTTTATCTATTATTTGTAGACAGTCTAGACTTATATGAGAAAATAATCAAGATCAAACTTAGCCATTAAGTTGTGAATAACAACCAAAAAGAGAGAAAATAGTCTGTAGGTATTTGAAAAATTATTATCCAATTTAGCAAAAAAAGTTGTTCAGCTCATTTACAAACAAGTAAAACTTCAACATACATCTCTGTTGTTTCATTTTCACCTTACTCTTGACATTAATGAAAATATACACTGACATTCATCTCTGAACTATGCTTGTTTGTTCATTGCAATCACTGAGTAGCTATGGAGAGAAGTATTCTGCAAAATCACTAAAGCATTCTATAAAGTTAATTATACAACATTTACAATAAATAATATTGTATTTACTATTTGTAAGTTGTGTACTATAGGATTTATTTTCAAAAGATCAATAAAATTTATAATACATTTATGCATATATACATATACATTTTTCCCAGGGAAATGTTTGTTTAAATGTTTACCAGCACAGCACATCACTGGTTACACATTATGTATACTAAGTACTTTGTTACAGACCAAAAAAATCATTAACATGATTCTGTTGGGAAAAGGAATTGAAGAGAAACAGAAGGAAAACTTACTTTTCATTTAATATTTTTCTGTATTTTTGGTAATAATATCAGGACAACAGGACAATGGGTCATTTTGGTTTACTCTTTGTATCTTTTTAAACTCATGAGTTCAATGGCTCCTGTTCTGAAAATATCCCTCACCTTCAAACCTCCGAGTAAGATCTTGTTCAATCTCATCAAATGCCGCTGCTCGCACATTGTTAAAGAAATCCTTCAAGTAATCCAAACCGGCTTTCATTTGTGCATCCTCACTGATAATAAGGGTATCATTATATTTCTGTTTAAATAAAAACTGAGTTTCGGTATGTTTCCAACATCTAACACATTTGCTATACTGAAGTTTAATTAGGTGTACTTGATAAGTTATTAGTTTAAAGAGAACTTTTCAAGTCTATTCCAACTGTGTTTTTTAAGATGGATAGCCCTTATTGGTTCTACAATAAAACTTTTGAGCTATATAATATTCTTTTTAAAAATCTCAATTAGCTATAAACATTAATGAGAATCACTTTGGATTTTAGAATTTCACCTTTGAAATGAGAAAACTACCTGAAAAACATTTATCTTAAAAAGGAGTAACAAAGCAGGTGAACGTCTACCATTAACCTGTATCATAATTAAGCCATTCAACTTAATTTCCAAAGTCATCACTAAACTGTAAATATATCCCTCACAATGATGGCACTGACAACACATGTTGAAATTCAATTAAGGTAAATACATGCCAATTGAATGCATTTTTAACTATTTTCAATGGCATAATAAGAGGAGTAGCTACTACAGACCTAGTTAATCACAAACCTTGGATTTCTGAGCATATAATTTACCAAAAGTGAAAAAGCACAAGCTTCAGGAAATTACAACTGGGCCCACTTAAAAGTTCCGAAGTGAACTCTTGGTGACAGAATGAGAAGTTGATATTCTCTCAGCTGCTAGGAGATGTATAACTAAAACATCCTTTCGAAATAAATAACATACCCGCAAATGTGAAGTGTACAAATACATTGCCTTACAAATCCTGCTCTCTTCTTCTTTGTCTGGCAACTGAAACACCCTGCATGCTTTATGAACTTCAACAATCCACTGTTCATATTTCTGTGTTCCAAATACTCTGTCTTGAATTTCAAATAAGTAACCTGGGGAGGAAAAAAGTTTTTCACTGCGCCATATGGTCAATCATTTAAGATTCTACTATGCCTCATGCTTGTCATGGATGTATCTGTATGCATGCAGCTTCTAAGATAACCCTCAGTTGCTTGGTTGAAAAATGGGAATCTGCTATGATTTAGGCTCTGTGTAGATGTGAGGGATAAAGATGAGAGAGACACCCTTGGCACTGTTTTCAAGTGACTTATTCTGTAAGTTATTTTATTAACAGTTCTTTAGGGTTGCACAGGATGAACACAGTACAGTAAAATTTATAGCAAGGACTGTATTTCTGGCTTAAATCTTTCCCCTCTACCACTAATTGTTAACAAGAGGAACAAAGGAGGGTACCCAAACAAGGAGCACTGACATGCTTCTTCTGCAGCTCCAGTGACAAACGAGGTAGCCAGGAATAACAAGATGAACCATAAAGTATTTATTGAACTTGACTATGTATGAAAATAATGTAAGCAGATAAGAAATGAGCAACTGACAGTATTTGGCCTGGGATAAATGTAAAGGCAGGGTACCTGCAGCGACATGAATAATAAAGTAGAAATTCATGTGGCTCTATCACCATCTCTACATCCCTCTGCAACTTTACCAACATCATATTATTCCTGGATGATATGACAACCTCCTAATTGGTTTCCCTATCTCTTGCCTATTTCTTTAATACTTTTCTCACCTGCAGGGAAGGAATTTCCAAAACTGCAGATGAGAAACTATGCTATCCCACTACTTAAAAGCTTTAATGGATTTCTCTGGCCAAAACCCTACCATGATGTTATGGTTTAAGTGTCTTCCAAAAGCTAATGTGTTGAAAACTGATCTCAATTGTAGTGACATTAAGACATAGTAGGACCTTTAAGAAATGGTGCCTAGTAGGAGGTTATTAGGTCACTAGGGGGCATTGGCCTTGGAAAGGATTAATGTAATTTTCATAGAATCCCAGTTAGTTCTTGAGAAAGTATTATAAAAGAATAAGCCTCTCCCTGAATCTCTCTCTGACTTCCAGTCTGAAGAAAAGGTTCCCTCCTTTCTCACATGCTCACAGAGTGAAGCCATCCACTATGAGGCCTTCCCCCAAGCCTAAGACATCCTGTTTGAACTTTCAATCTCACAAACTGAGCTAAGTAAACTTCTTTCCTTTATGAGTTACCCAGTCCCAATTATTTCATTATTGGGCCAAAAAACAAATACACTCATTCAGGGGGTGGACAGGATCTTCTGTGATCTGGCCTTTGCCCACTTCTAATTCTTACATCTAGCCACTTGGTTTCCTGTATTTTGTAAGACTAATGAAATTCCCCATATTCTCTCTAGTCTTCTGGCCTTTGCACATATAGCACAGTTCCCTTTGCCTGAAATAAACCTTATCACCACCACTCACTCACTCCGAGATGCTTCATTATTATTATTTATTTATTTTGGCTTTACAATTAACTGGAATGTCTCAAGGTCCACACTGAATTCCTAACATCTAGCACATCCTCTAGCAATGAATGAATGAATGAATGAATGAATGTGTCTGATGAATTGCTGAATAAAAGAACTCAAGTAGGTAAGTATGAATGATAAAAAGATAAGTGGAACTCTATAGTCCAGGCAGAACTCAGACTGTCAAGTTATCCTCTAGGCAAAGGGTTTTAAGTAGAATACTGATATGATAAAACCGGACATTACCAGAGGACTAACAAGCTAATGGAGCACTAAGAGAAACAGAGAGTAGAAGTGGGCAAACCAACCCTAAAACTATTATAATAGGTCTTAAGCTTTGAAAGTAAAAGAAAGAGAAGAGCAAAATAAGTGTGAGGGACACCATAAGATATTTTACAGATATCACAAATTCAACATCGCCAAAATTCTGAATTGACCTTATACCTGCCAAAGTTGTTCCCAGTCTTGGAACCCATACTTCCTCCTGATAAACACACAGATGCCCACTCCAGAAGCTAAGAGGAGATCACTTCTTCCCTCCCCTCTCACTTCCACTCAAACCCAGTTAGCCACTCAATCTTATCACTTCCAGTTGTCAGCACCTTGCATACGCCTCCTACCTTCTCCAGCTCATTTCTTCGGTCTTTGTGTGGCCCCATTTGTTAACTGGTATCCTTAGGTAGCACATCGGTAATCACTCTAAAATCTTTGCTTGCTTCCCACTGGTTTTAGAATAAAATTCAAATCCAGAGGGCTGGGGATTTAACTCAGTGGTTCTGGCGCCTGCCTCAAATCCAGGCTGGGCAACCAGGCCCTTCCTGGCAGCCCCAGTCCCCACCCCACCCTTCATTTCACTTTTTTCCACAACTCATAATTACCAAGAAATGCTTGCAACTCCTAAAATTCACTGTGCTCTCTCTTCTCTCTATGCCTGCTGTACTTTCTACCTCACTTATTCTCCCCTCAAATTGGTCAATTTCCTCAAGATTGTTTTAGGTATCAGCTCCTCAAGAACACCTTCCCTGCAACCCAACCCAGGACAGAGTTCCCATGTGCTCCCACAGTGCCTAGTATGTAACTTCCCAGGCACATAGAAACTCTTTGCATTGGATTCCCACTGTTTGACTATGAGTTTTCTAAGGTCAGGGACTATGTCTTCAATCTCAGTATTTTCAGTACCTACCACAGTGCATGGCACCATAAATATTTGGGGGTTTTGCTTTTTCTTTTTTTCTCTTTCCTGGTACGCGAGATTGAACTCAGGACCTTGTGCTTGTGAGGCAGGCATGGTGCCAGTGAGCTAAATCCCTGGCCTTAATATTTTGTGAAGTAAAGAACAAATTAAGTTGAGGGCTAGAACTTGATGACAACATTAGGAAGTTTCAAAAGAAGAAAGAATCAAAGATCATCCCTAGGTTTGAATCTAAGCCAGCAGAAAGATGGAAGTTTCAATCCATAGAAATAAGTGAAGATGGAAAGCTAATGTGGAAGGTCAAAAAAGTGATAAACTGATACTTTTATGGTATTTTTCAGGTGTGCAGATCCAGATGGATTTACTTTGAATTTTAAAAGAAAAAAAGGCAAAAGAGAATGCCTGAGGACTTACAGGGCTCCTGAATAACCTATAATCAAGAAACTCCATATCTAGATATGGTCTGAACTCAAAGAAAGCAAAAAGACACCAGTAAACAATATATGACTATTTTCAAGTGGACAGGATACAAAATATTAGATTTATCTCACTAAGAGTTACAGCAGAACTCACCAAGTTCTTCAGAGATAATCTTTGCCATATGCTCCGTCTCCTTCATCAGCTGAGATATAATCAATTTAAATCTGTTGGTAGTCCGTGGTTTCACTTTCCTGGAAACTAGAGCCATCAAAGGAAAGTGAGGTTTTTTGGGGGGAAAGACAGATCATCTCTCAATGTAGATATCTCCAAACTCTTCTCTGCCTTTGTTATTTCCTCTGGAAAACCAGAGGGCCTAAGCTCATTTGCAGATGGTCTAAATAATACAATAAATGCTTTAAAACTTGCAATAACTCCCAATTGATTACTACACTGATAACATTTGTCTTTCATGGCCCGGCTTCTCATTCTGGCTTTCTTGTTACCTCTGCTCTGACAAGTTGAATAGCCCTCTTGTTTATGCAACTGCCATACTCTAAGCCTATCTCTATGCTTTCTTATTCTCTCTCCCCACCCAATCTCCAACTGATCCTCTCTATTCATTACTGATCCTAGCACTGGTTACTGTATTATTTCAGCAAAAACTCACTAATTGCCTATCATGTACCATGCTCTGGCAATAGAGAGTTGAAAACACACCCAATGCCCCACAGAGGGCTATATTCTGATAGGAGAGAAAAGGAGATAGCCAAACAATGACATCAGAGTTCTTTAAATACTGTATGTGCAAGGTGTCATGGAGCACAGGAAAAGGAATACTTCATCTTTCGGGGGGAATTGGTGGCATATATATGTCAAGAAGAAAGGAGAAAGCCTACAGCAGACATGTACCAACAGTAGCATGGAGAAACCATCAGAGAGAGAAAGCACATGACATGCCTGATGAGCTCAGAAGAAGGCAACATTGTTAGGGTTATGTGATTTGTGAGGAGACGAAGCTCAGAAGGCTGGAGGAAGCACATTATAAAATTCATGTGTAGGCAACCTACTTTTTGGGCCCCCTTCCCTCTCAGGCAAGAACTGTCTATCCCTCAATAAATATGTCCTATTCTTAAAAAAAAAAAAATTCATGTGTAATGCTGAAAAGACTGGCTACCTTTCCTAAATTCCTCACAAGTAACTCCCCAAAAAGAACTTAATGGTGCTCCCTTCCCCATTTCATGTGTATCTGTTCTGCCTGAGAATCATACAGTCATATGCTGCTGAGACAGTAAGGATGAAGTTATGCATATCTTCTGTATTCCTCAGTCCCTTCCAGGGCTAGTATAATAATAAAGTCAATAAACACTTGCTATATGATTTTAAAAATCATATTCTGATCTTTGGGGACAGATACAATGAAATCAGACAACTTCAACTACAATTACCTCAGGCATGGAGCATGGGCCCAACCTTCAGCCATCTACACACTTAGATTTTCTCATCACCTCTTCCATCTTGCTAGTACTTTTATAAAATTCTTATGCAGCAAAAGTGGAGGAATATTTGCTCCTTATAGGTCAGTTCACCCATTAGCAGAAAAAGAGCTTAATTAAGGAAAAAAACTACCAATGTGACTATTTCCTAAGTTTGGGGTTGAATATTTTCTACTAAACAGACAAAGGGTCAATGTTCAGGGTTCATCAAAAGGGTGCTGAACTAGGTAGGGTGAGCAGAGAGTAACAAAGTCCCAAAGGCTTGTTCCTGGGTACCCACTTACTTTTCTGGGGCTTATAAACAACTTGCTCCAGTTCCTCCAAGTTTTCTTTAACTGTTGCTATCACTGATGCATCAAGAGAAGCACACAGTTTGCAAATGTAGGCTATGGCTTCCTCTGTGTTTTTAGCATCTCCAACACCAACTGACGCAGTCAGCCCAATGACCTGTAAAGAGTATTCTGACTTTAATTTTTTTCCAACATTCTCTAAGACACTGCAATAAGAAAGGCCCCATTAGGCAAAGCACTGAATAAATGCAGGAGTCATAAAGCATCAACTGAATACTAATCAGCACAGAACCTGAGACAAGAGCCCTTTCAAGGCAGGGCTTCTCTTTTCTATACCTCTGCGTTCAACATGATGTAGAGAACATCATACTGAAAAGGAAAAGGAGTGAAATCAGACACATTCATTCCAGTCTTGGCCATGTCACGCAGGTAGGATGCCCTTGGAGAAGGGCCTTCAACTTTGTGTTAATGAGGGAAACAATATCTATTTAACATGGTAGTAGTGCAGAATCAGTAAGCTAACCCCAACTAACTGCCACTCAATAATTACTGAATAATCAACTCATCAGCAAGATTACTTAACATCAAAGTTATTCTAAAAGAATAAGCTATAAGAATGTTAGCAGGGTGTGGTGGCGGACACCTATAATCCCAGCACTCAGGAGGCTGAGGCAGGAGAATTGCCACAAGTTCAAGGCCAGCTTGAACTACATAGCAAGACTCTGTCTCAAAAAACAAAACAAAAAATATGACTACTATGACAGGGAACATTTTTGTCTGTGGGCACAGTATTAAATTTCTTTTAACGTGCCCTTACGAAATGAGTCATTATTAAGGCTGGAGAACTTTATACATATGTGCAGACACACATACCATAAATTCAAGGTTTCCAACCTCATTTGAGCCAGCCACATTACCAAGGAATTCTTCAGTGTTTTCCTATCTGTTTTCCCTCTGATTTCAAATCTTCTCCACCCTCCACTTACTCTCTCATTCCTATGCTGGAATACTCAACAAATCTTCTTTCCTATGTTCAAAAAAGAAATTATACACTAGATAGCCCATCCCTTCCTGCCCCATATAAGAACTACTCTCTGACTTTACTCTTCTCATAACATTAAACACAAGGTTCCTTCTTCTTTCCTATATTAATCCATCTACTTGCACACTACTCCTACTCTGGTCTCTCTGGGCATCTTGTTGTATCAATCATTCTCTCTCACCCATTCTGCCTGACCTACTGCTTTCCCTGCCTCATACTCTATATCATGTAATATTGAATAGTCTCAAGATTTGGAGCACACCAATCTCTTTAATACCTCTGTGCCCCTGGGCACATGGATCACTCTTACTGTAAAACATCTAGCTAGCTATCTGGCAAGCTTCTGTAAGTTTCTGCCTATGCTAACTTCTATTAGGTCTTCCTTTACTTTCATAGCAAACGCAGAAATCCTGTCACTTATTTTCCACTGTGCCCTGTACTTATCTCCACAGTATACCATCATGATAAACTGATACAATTTTATGTATCTGTCTCTACACAAAAATTTAGCTGTTTGAGGACCAGGACTGTATGTTTTTTATATTTGCACCACCAGTGCCTAGAACAGTGTAAGGTACATGATACACACAGGTGACTTTCCATATCCACAGATTCTGCATCTGTAGATGCAACCAACAATGGGTCAAGAATATTTTTTTTAATTTTATAGTTATCAAACATGTTTAAATTTTTTTCCTTGTCATTATTCCCTACATGATACAGTATAACAACTATATTTACATAGCATTTATAAAATATTAGGTATTATAAATAATCTAGACATCATTTACAGTACATAGGTGAACATATAGGTTATATACAAATACAATGACATTTTACACAGGAAATTTGAGTTATCTTCAGTTTTCCTATCTACAGGGAAACAAAGGATAATTATTTGTTAAGTGAATAAATGATAAATAATCAAAATTGATAACGAGCTATAATAATATGGATTTAGTAACTGAGAAGGACAATCTGAAATGGGGCCATAAGAGTAAGTATATATGATTCAGGAAGATAACAGCTCTTCTGAGAAATCCATGTGACTTTGGAGATACCTGAGGCAATGGATCTGAAGATCCTCCAAGTTTCTGTTCTAGATAATTGAACATGATCATATTGTATGGGTGGTGTTTACTTGTGTTGTGGCATTCATCAAATATCATCAAGGTGAAGATAGACAGTGATGGAACGGTTCCATTTTTAAGATTATTCAGAAGAATCTGTGGTGTTAAAATGATGATGTCATTGCTCTCAATAGTCTGTGCCACTGGGACATTCTCGGCTGTTGCTCCAGAAATGCCTGTAACTCTGTAGCTGGGAAACAAAAGAAACTCCCTATTACTAATCGTGATGTGAATGAAAAAACACAAAGATGAAACACTCAGTAAGAATTAAGTCCTTAGCACAGAACCTGACACGCAGCAAGCGACTAATAAGTGCAAGCTAGCTATAATTGATGCTAATATAAATATAGAAGGCTGATATTTAGTAATATAGGAAAAGGGGAGGGAGATAACAATCCCCTTAGGATAATTCACAAAAGGAGCTATGATCTCCAATTAGCTTACTTCATTTTAAAACTATTTCCAATCACAAGGAAAGATTTCTTTAAAATATACTAGCACATTTCACCTGTGGATGTCTATAAGTTCATTCGCGATATGTTCCCAAATCTGTGCTGGCATTAAAAGAGCAAAACATTACACTGGTATGTTTTTCTGTTAATTAGTGTAAAGCATTATTTTTCCAACACACAAGAGCATTTTCTCACAGTATAATGAAAACTGAAATCCTATGTGTATTCAATAGTAAATAGACAAGTTTTAGTTTTTATTTCCACTTGTTGAGGTACATTTCCTATAAAAGTTTCCAAATAAGGATTTTTATTTTTATTTGTATTTTTTCAGTATAAAAATTGCCTTGATAGCATATTATGACGCAATGCTAATTGCTTGTTAGGTAGTTAAACATCAGTATTGAAACTTACTCTCTAGCTGCCATCTTGTAGACATGAACAAATGTTTACCATGCATGTATTCTGTGTTTTGTTTGTTACATTGTGCACTGCAACTAATAAGCTAAGGAATGACATATATTAGGTGTGTGTACTGTTTCTAAAAATCACAAACTAAGAATGATAAATTATCAACACAGTTCAGTATTTGCTAATTGTACTACACTCTTTTGTTAAGTATATGTTAAGTCACTGGGATTATAAATTCAATTTGAGTATAGTTTAAAACCATGTTTCATGATAAAGGGTCGTTAAGATGGACGACACACTAATATGTATTTTCTGTAAAGAGAATTACAAGAGTTTTATTTTTCTGACATTAAAAGTTACTTAATAAAGACTTCTTTCTATTAAAAAATAAATAAATCTGGCCATGGTGGTGCATGCCTGTAATCTGAGCACTCAGGAGGCAGGAGGATCTCTGTGAATTCAAGGCTAGCCTGGGCTACACAGAGAGTCCAGGCCATAGTATGCAGCAGGACCCTAAATAAATAAATGAATAAATAATTTTTCAAGTCATTGAGAAAAGAGTACTTAAAAGAGAATATTGTATACATTTTAAATTCATTTAAGTATCAACTTTATCCACTAAGTCATTTACTTATCCTATAAGAGCAAACCAAGAGGGTTTAGGATTTCTGGAATATCTAACAAAAAAGATTTAAATCCATGAAGGAATTACATCTAGATTATATTAAAAAGCTGGATCTACTATGAAAATGTTTTTAATTATAGTTTTTAAAAAACAAAACGGAGGGCTGGGATTTAGCTCAGTGGTTTCACCGCCTGCTGCGCAAGTGTAAGGACCCAAGTTTGATCCCCAGTACCAAAAAACAAAACAAAACAAAATGGAAAACACGTTAGTTACAAGAATCTAGAAAAAAGAAGTTAGAGTAACTGTTACACTTACCCAAGTCTTTCAAAATATCTTGAGAACACAGTCTTCTGCTGTTCATACACAGGGACCTGGTTAGCAAAAAAGACAACTTTCCCTTTTCGTCCTTGTGAAAACTTTTGAAGATGATGTTCACATATAAGAAGTGAAACAAAGGTTTTTCCACAACCTTTTATATATATATATAAAAAAAAGAAAATATGTAACTAATAGTGTTCTGTGTATTTCTATAGAAAAGTATTTACTTTAGTTCTTCTAACACCATCAGGTTGACAGGTAAATTGATCATTTAGATAGATTAACAACTGTAGAATTTAAACGCTAAGTGAAAAACACCAAACTACTTCTTAAGTAAGGTATACTCAAATAGCCAGGACTAAAAGCAAGCTAAACGAGAGTATTTTTCTTTCATTGTTCATGTCTTAAAATATGTTAAGACTATATTTATATTTATATTTTCTCAAAAACAAATGAAATAGGAAAAAAATTGAACCTTTCATTCAATGAAAGAAAAACAAAGGAAGAAACAACACGGTAATGACAATTTGCTTACCAGTAGGAGCATATATTATTGTATTTTTCCCTTCCTTCGCAGGCAAAGCAAGCTCTAACTGGTAACTTCTTGGCTTCAATGGGCTGTATAAGTTAGTATGAGACACTTCTACAAGACAAAAGAAACAGAATTACCAAATAGTTACTGCTCTGAGGAATCATCATAATAGCTATAATCTAATGAAGATGAATTCTGATTCCAGTCAGAAGGGCCTCATTTGAGGTTTAAAATCTCGTCGCTTATTAACCATTCTAGCTTCTTCACTGATAGGAAGAACAGAATTCTTGTTCAGTGAAAAGGTATCACTGTCAAGAAGGGGGGAAGAAAACACAATGGATTATTTCTTAATCATGGAAACCATAATAAAGTTAAGCAAAGAATGGCCTAATCCAGGGCAAGATAGATGAGCACCATTTATAGAGAATGGTGTTTGGAACAAAACAACAAAAGATCTTTCCAAGACTGATGAAGAAGACCATACTATTAATATTGGATTCTTAAAGCAATTTCTTTTTGAGGAGTAACCATGCTTTGTAAGTCTTTAGGCTCTTAAACAATTATTTTCTCTTCATATAGTCAGAAATTTAAAAAAAATTCAGTCTTTATCTCAACATTTATATATACATAATATTAAATGGAAGGAAAAACTTTGGAAATCATTTAGTAAGTTGAACCAACCCATTTAAAAAAGATTAAGAGAATTAATTTCACTTCAGACTTATAAGGATCTTTACATGTCAGAAATAAAGCAAGACATTCACTGATCTTATTCTAGAATGACAAGAAAACTTGTATCACTCAGTTGCAGTGAAAAAAATCTATAAATTTTCTTTTAATGATACTATCCGAAAAATCATATTTTTCTCTGAACAATATTCATTATTAATCCTAATTTCCTTCCTGCTATCCTTTTATAAATAACTTTTTATTATGACACATTATGCAACCATCTATCGCCTCATAAAACAGTCATGAAAATATGTATGCTTCAAGAAACATACGGGACCTCACAGGGACACAGTTAACTTTTAAGGTGCCTTGTGAGAATAAAAAAAAGGAGCTCCACTCAGAGGACACAAGTGCTCCGTACACAGTTCGGCAGACTATTTCTCAGCAATGCACATTTGTGCAGTGCACACACCTCATCAACTAGTGTAGCAACCCTGGAATCTTCAAAGAAAACTAAGTGAATGGCTCACAAATAGAAGTATGTTTTTAGAAAGAAAGGCTATTTTGGATTCCATAGACACTGAGGTTCTGGGAGGACTCTATTTGCATTTCCAGAGTAGACATGCACAAATTTGATTAGTGATAAAATGAGACTTAAGAAAAGATAAAAGCAGAAGCTATGAAAGACAAAACTGATATTTCTAATTGTAAAGTATCTATTTTAACATAAATCTTCTTATCTTTATAAATTTTCCTTAAAAAGCCTTTTCATAAGGCTGTAACTTTAGGCACTGCAAAAATATACCCACAGAAAATACATGCACAACACCATTACAGAAAAAAATGCCAGGTACCTGAAGGTGAACAGGGATTCTGACTAAGATTTTGGTCTCCTGGATCTTCCTGGTAGAAAATCTGTATGTCAGAATGTTCTATTTTGTCATCCTCAAGATCTTTAATTTCAAAATCTTTCATACCTTTATAAGATAAAAAAAACACTTACAATATTAACATTATCTGATTACAGCTTTGATTGTGAAAGCCCCACAAAGTTGTAACACTAAAATTTTAAAATTCTATTAAGGGTTCTCACAATCATACCCTTCAATTCTTTTTTGGTACTGGGGATCGAACTCAGGACCTTGCGCTTGCCAGGCAGGCGGTAGAACCACTGAGCTAAATTCCCAGCCCACACCCTTCATTTCTTAAAACAATTAAAGGAATCATTTGACCTTGAAGTTTAATTTGGTGTTTGAATCCCAATGTCATTTCGAACTGAATTACTCTAAGTATGGAATATGGAACCAGCAACTTTAGGAGCTTGTTGGAAATATGAATTTTGAGCTCCTATGGAATCAGAATCTGTATTTTAATAAGATGGCCAAGAGATTCCTATGTACACTAAAGAAAAGACCTTGACCAGGGCCAGGGATTTAGCTTAGTGGTACCGGTGCCCACCTGAAAAGTGCAAGATCCTCAGTTCAATCCCTGATACTGGAAAAGACCTTGACCAAACAGACATTCATGTCTTCCATTTCTGACACCAGACCCAAGAAATCAGATATGTGGTACTGGGAAATGAATCCAGGGCACTGTCTTGCACATGCTAGGGCAACACTGTACCTACCACTGAGCTGCATCCTCAGCTGTGTGTGTGTGTGTGACAGTGTCTTGCTAAATCACTCAGGTTGGCCTTGAACTTATGATCCTCCTCCCTCAGCCTCCCAAGTAGCTGGAATTACAGGCATGTACCACTGCACCTGGCTAGAGCAACTTATCTAAAGAAGCCTAGGTAAAGCTAATGCTAAGATACTCAGATGTTTATCAGGCACAGCCTTTAAAACAAGGCTCTGAGAAGAGGTTAGCTTCAAGAAAGCAAATGAAGGCTCAGACACTAAATCATGGCAGTCTTCTTTCCCCCTTGCTCTGTTCAGTTCCAAATGGCTTCCAGGCAAGAGAACCAGGAAATGTCTATCATAAGTTTACCCTGAAAAGCGTTAAGTCTTGGAGTTCCAACCTTAAACACTAGAATTCTCAAGCTATTTCTCTGATAACCTAAACTCAGGCTGGAAGCTCAGACTCAGGCCTTTCCTAAATTCTTTGGGTCTTGACCAAAGATGGACTAATTCTGGGTGACAACAGTTTATCCTGGTGCATTTTTAGAAGTTGTATACAACCAAACTAATTCTGCAATCAAGTAGCTACCTCTTTCCAGATCTAGACCTTTTCCCTTTTCCCTTCAGGGCTCTTCCTTGGAATGGCCTACCTTCTTCTATAATCCACAGTTCATTGAAGATGTTTCCATCTTTCTCCAAAGCAAGTTTCAAAATCTTGGGCCAGTTCTCCTTGTCTGATCTGAGAAGACATTCAGCCATTTTCTCTGCACCTGCCATAGGCCCCCTACTGATGCAAACCTGAGCAAGGCAAATGCAATTTTTGACCAATTATTTCAAAACTTTCTTCTATGAGTTTTCACTGTAGAAATATCAATTTAAATACTATTTGGTTTAAAGTCGTTGTAAATTATGGTTCAGTGGGTATTAAATAAGTTATCATTTTTGCACCCTTCAACACTGTCTTTTCTTTCTCTTTTTTATGATACTGGAGGTTGAACCCAGGGTCTTTGTACTGAGCCTTCCCCTACCCATTTTTAGCCAGGGTCTCTCTCACTATGTTGCCCAGGCTGGGCTCTTTCCTTCATCTTTGTTTTTCATATGTGATATCATTATGTCAACCCAAGCCTTCTCATCTCCTCTCAGTTTTTAAATCTATCATCATCAGCAATATTAGGAAAACAATCCATTTGACAACCATTCACATTATGGATTTATTAGCAAAGAAGGATATTCATAAGGACATAACAGAATGTTAAATGGTGTTCTCAGAGTACAGGGATTTACACGACTTTTATTATTTTGGGGGGGGGGCACCAGAAATCGAACTCAGGACCTCATGCTTGCCAGGCAGGCACTGTGCTGCGGCGTTACATCCCAGGCCCAATTTATTATTAATCATAATTAATAACTTACTGTGCAATTATTATGTGCCAGGCTTATTATGTAAACATTTCACATATATTTTCTCATTTAATACTTACGAAATTACCATATTAGTGTACTATAATTACTTGCACCTTATGCATGAAGAGACACATGCTTAAAGAAGGTAAGTAAATTCCCCAGGATCACACCACTAGTAAGTGATTGAACTAGGATTTTAACAAAATTTATGTGTGACAAGAGCCTAACTGTTTAACTGCTAGTCTATATCCCTTTTTTCTTTTTTGATAAACTACACAATTTTATTTAATTTACATAAAACATTCAGAAAATAAGGTCATTTTAATTGAAAGTACATCAAACTTGAAAAAAGGTGTTACAAAAATTACTGAATTCACATTAAAAGTGCTATGCCAGGTAATTATTCCTTAGATATGAGAGTGTTTGTGGGTTTCTCCTCCTTAGGTATACAACAGGACATTTTCCATATTCTTATTATTTCCTCAAAAATTTAGTATTTTATGTTAACTTACTTGCCGTATTTCTTCACAATCCTGAGTAATTAAACATTCAGCTATTTCTGGGAGGATTTCTGTTGGAATAATTCTGGCTTTAAATTCTGGTTCTAAACGTCTCAAAAGTGATCTATGGTCCTCTAACTTTTCAAGGTTTTGAAAATCCCACCTTTCAATGGCTTCGTAAAGTCCAGAGTAACCTGAAAAGAAAGGAAATGAGGACTTTTATAAGACCAACCAGAAATAGTTTGACATTAAAATCATAACTCATGCTTGAATGAATGGTGCCAGAACTTAAAAACACTGGTTACTTCAGTTATCAATACTTTTTCAAAAAGAAAACAATATTCATTTTAGGTACCGAACAGTTTATGTTTTCTAACAATTTTTATTACCTATTAGGAGAAAGTAGTAATGATAAATTTGAAGTTTTATATTTGATCTTTGTATAAAATCTTCCAAAGTACCCCCATTAACTTCATCTGCAACCAGATTTCCCTTTCAGTATATCAAATTCACCATGGTTTTTTGTTTTGTTTTGTTTTGGTACCTAGGATCAGACTCGGGTCCTTTGCAGCAGGCAGCAAAACCACTGAGCTAAATCCCCAGCCCCAAATTCACCATGTTTATCTTCTCAGTGAAAAGCAATAAGGATGAAAGAAAATATAAATCTCAATTCCTGCCCTCAAAGAACTTTCAATCTACATTATTTCAAGAAAAGAATATTAAGTAAGTGAAGCCAGGTGTGGTGGTACACGCCTGTAGGAAGATTGTGAATTGGAGACCAGTCTGGGATATACAGGGAACTCAAAGCCAGTCTGGAAAACAGTGAAATCCTATGGAAAAAAAAAATAAAACAATAAATAAAATTTAAAACAAAGAATATTAAGTAAATGGGAAATCTGAGGAGGAAAAAGTAATTCCAACTTCAATAATGCAAGAATGTCTCACTCTAAGGTTTTGTGACAGAATCACCAGGCTTGCCTGACTCTGAGGCCCAAACTCATTTCACGAGAATAAGAAGACAATGAGGTTTATTCTATGGGCCCAAGTAACTAGAGGAATCATGAAGCTCCTATGTGCAGAAATGGTTCTAAGATGAGAAAACCCCTGGATTCTATTAAAAGAATCTTAATCTGACACCTGCTCTGCAATCCCCCTGCTGTATATAGATATGAAACCAAAAAATACAATAAATATGCTGGAACCCATAGTCAGCAAATAGTATTACTAATGATAATATATCTAATGCACAGCAACTGAATGTCATCCAATTTCAGAAAACCTCAATTTTGTCCTTTATAGTGACAGTTCTACAGTATTTACATTTAACTTTTAGAATATTTTCATTATAACTGAAGTTTATTTTACATATGGGTAAAAGGAATTTCCTTGAAAATCATATTTAGGAAGTTCAGGGAAAATAGTAATGGCCAGTAACTGAACAAGATGTTAAGGCTCATTTATATTTTTTACTGGGGCTAAAGAATAACATAAAATTTACTATTTTAGCCAGTTTTAAATGTACAATTCAATAGTGTTAAGTAAATTTACTGTTGTGAGACAGAGCACCAGAATTCTTCAACTTGCCAAAACTGAAACTCTATAAACATATCAATAAACCATAATTTCTCTTTCTCCCATCCCTTGACTCCTGGTAACTACTTCTTTCTGTTTCTATTACTCTATTTTAGATTGTTTATAAAGGTAGAATCATACAATATTTGACTCTTTGTGACTGGCTTATTTAATTTAGCATAATTTGCTCAAGGTTCACCTATGCTATAGCATATGGCAGGATTTCCTTGCCTCCTAAAACTGAATAATACTCCATTATATGTATATACCACATGTCTTAGTTACTTTCTTACAGCTGGGACAAAGTACTTAGCATCCACAAATTAAAGGAGGAAAGGTTTATTTAAGCTCACAGTTTGTATAGGTTTCAGTCCAGAGTCAGCTGATTTCAAGGCAGGGCAGCATGGCAGAGGGGCATGGAAGAAGAGAAACAATTCATGGTGTGGCAACAGGAGGCAGCAAGCAGTGAGCCTTCCTTTCCCTTTTTATTCCATTCAGGCTAAAAGCCTATTGGTGTGTGCCACCCATACCTAAGGTAGGCCTTCCCATTACACACATTCAGAACTGTGCTAAATCAATCAGCGGAGTAATCCAGTTATCACACCCATAATCCAGTATCATACACTCATGATCCAGCCACCTCCCAAAAGCCCTACCTATGACTGCATAAGGCTTTGAGAGGACATCTAGATATAAGCTATAACACATTTTTAAATTTTTTTATTTTTTGTGGAGCAGAGGATCGAACCCAGCACGTGCTAGGTAAACACTGTACTACTGAACTATATCCTCTGCCTGACGCCACATTTTGTTTATCCATTCATCTAGTGATAGACCTAAGTGTTGCTTCTACCTCTTAGCTACTGTGAATAACATTGCTATGAAATAAGGATGAATATATCTTTTCATGACACTGCTTTTGATTCTCTTGGACCATACCAGAAATAGGACTGCAGGATCATATGATTCTATTTTTCTTTTTCTTTTTCTTTTTTTTTTCTTTTTTTGGTTCCAGGGATCAAACTCAGGATCTTGCACTTACAAGGCAGGCTGAGCTAAATCCCCAGGCCTATTTTTCATTTTCTGAGGAAACTCCATACTGTTTTCCACAATGGATACACTGTCTTATAATTCTACCAATAGTGCACAAGGGTTTCAGTTTCTCCACATTTTCACCATTACTTGTGACTGATTTTTTTTTTTATACAAGCCATTGGAATGGGTGGATAGTGATATCTCATTGTTTGGATATGTATTTCTTTGATGATTATGATAGTTAGCATATTTCCATGTTTGTTGGGCATTTGTGTGTCATATTTGCAGAAATAGCAAGTGCAAGTCCTTTTCCTGTTTTTTAATTGGGTTATTGGATTTTTGTATTGACATTGTATAGGCATTGAATGTATAGGCATTCTTTTTTTTTTTCCATTATTGGGGATTGAATTCAGGACCTTGTGCTTTCGAGGCAGGCACGGGGCCACTGAGCAAATGTCCTGGCCCTAGGCATTCTTTATATATTCTGGATACTTCTTACGAAATAAATGAGTTGCAAACATTTTATCTCATTCCATAGGTTGACTTCCCACTCTGCTGACTGCACCCTTTCAGACACAGAAGATTTTAGGTTTGATGCAGCCCCATTTTTCTATTTGCTTTTGTTGCCTACGCTTTTGGCATCATATCCAAGAATCACTGCCAAGTCCAATGTTAGGTTGTTTTTCCTCTGTGTTTTCTTCTAGGAGTTGTATAGTTTTGTCTTATGTTCAGATATGTTTAATCTATTTTGCATTAATTTTTATATAACATGTGATGATTAATTTGATATGTCAACTTGAATGGCTAAGAGATGACCAGATAGCTGGTAAAATGTTATTTCTTTGTGTGCCTGTCAAAGTATTTCCAGAAAAAAGTGACCATTTGAATCAGTGAACTGATTTAAAAAAATCCACCCTCACAACTGTGGGTGGACATCACACAATTCATTGACAGCCCAAGTAGAATAAAAAGACAGAGGAAGGGCAAATTTATTTATTCATTTTAGTTTTCTGTATAATTGTATCTTCTGTGAAAAGAGATGTCTTAGTTCTTTCTTTCTAATTTATATCTTTTCTTTATTTTCCTTACCTCATTGTTTTGGATAGAACTTCCACTACTAACCATCACGTAGTTTTTTGGGGTTTTTTATGGTACTGGGGATTGAAGTCAGGACCTTGTGCTTACAAGGCAGGTGTGGTGCCACTGAGCTAAATTTCCAGCCCATCATTTAGTTTTTAAAGTAAAAATTAGAAATGCCATTTTTAACTGAAAGGTTGTAAGAATTTAAATAATGTATAATATCCAAATTAATAATATCCTAAAAATAGAGAAACATTAGCTGAGGGGGTGGGCCAGCGAGCCAGGCTTGGAGTGTGCTCCCTGGCTGCTTGCAGGGCAGTAAGCGTGTTTCCCAGGCATAACATGCAGCCCGAGCCTCACTGCTCACACCCCTGGTTGCCCAGCTGGCACTTGGGATTGCACACCTTTTGCCCAAGGCTCCAGACTTAGTGAGCAGTGTTTGCCCTCTCTTCTGGTATAACTAATATATTGAAGGCTGCAAATAAAGGAAGAGGATATGCTGCCTATACCTTTAATATTGAGGCTACTGGCTTTGGCAAAGGTGAAAAGTTGCCTAATGTAGTGTTGAAGCCACCAGCACTGTTTCCTTAGAATACAGATTATAAGCCAGTGTCACTGAAAACAGGAGAAAGTGAAGATTATTACATGCTGGCCTTGAAGCACGAATTGAGAGTAACAATAAAAAGAAAGACTTATTTTATTGAAAAACCAGAAGAAAAGCCAGATATCGAAAGGTATGGTAAAAATACATGTAGATATACAAAGAAGAATGGACACCAGATTGGAGAAGACTCCCAAGAGAGATGATGCCATGGAAAAAATGCAGAAAACCAGACTTAAAATCCAAAAACTCAAAAGTTACAGACAAAGCCTCTTCACTTATTAATACTGCAGATGTGTTGAAAAAAATTGAGGAATTGGAAAAGAGAGGTGATGGTGAAAAATTTGATGAGGGAAACCAAAAGAAGGAAGCAAAGAGAAAAGTAAAGAAGGTGAGACCATACCACCACCCCCAGTGCCAAAGAGCAGAGCTGCCGCCAGTACAGAGGTGAACCTTCCAGGCTGCTGTACCACTCCCCCCAGCACTGAGGAGGTGAGCTGTGAGGGCACCAGCAGCACTCATATCCCCACCCACATCCCCACCCCCACTCCCACTGAAATGAGAAGACAAGTAAATAAGTCTCAAAACCAGACTTCCAGATCACCTAAAGCATCCCCAAAGCAAAACGTGATGGAACACTCTGATACTCAACCACCTGGACTCCCTGAACTGGCAATGAAAGAGGATCTAGAAAAACTGAAATCAGAACTAATTTCTCAGATAACAGCAGAGATTGTGTCCATAGTGCAAGACATGATTAATAATTCTAGAGAGGACGCAGATGAAAAACTAGAGGAGCTCAAGAACATGATGGCAATCCCAATATAGGAAACAAATGGAATCCATAAAACAGATGCAAACAATTTCCAGGACAATAAAAACTCTACTGAAAGTTTACACAGGAGA